CCTAGGCGGCGCCCAACTGCCTGGCTCCGAATCCTTACGATTAGGATAAAATGGCAGCGGTGTCCTACCGCCTAGCAACTTGAATGTATCGGTGTGAAAGGCTGATCAAAGCTACGCACCTTGCATAGGAAATTGACTTCCGAAAGATGGTTCTCTCCGGTGACCCGTAAACACATGTTATGCTATCACTTCCATAGTAAATATAAATTTAACCTGCCGTTTAATGAAGTTGAACTATATTATGAGAGAGAAGAAAAAACAAGTTGATTTCCGATAGCTGTTAATTGAAGCTGTTTCCCAAGCATAATTTCATTTTGATGCTTCTAAAACAAATTAAAGCATGGAGTGGAGTTTATCACATTCTGTTCTCACATGGCTCCTGGTAATATCCATAACACCAGGGCAACCACAGAGGGCCATAGTGAGCTCAAACTCATCTTTCAGCATTTCGATAATCCGTCTCACACCGCGTTCCCCGTTTGCTGCAAGGCCATAGATTACAGGCCTTCCAACCTGCAGCAACATTAGCCTGTATTTCAATAAGAAAATCCAAAACAATACAAGCAGTTTAAGGGTTCATATCAGAAGGGCAGCTTGTATAGATATAGATATCTTACAAGGACAGCTTGTGCACCCAAGGCTAATGCCTTGAACACATCTGTTCCTCGCCTTACTCCTCCATCAAGCCAGGAACTTTTCTTCCAACAGCATCAACTACCTGAGAACATTATAGATATGTGATTGAACATTCTTACAACTTTTCCAATGGGACAGTTTCTTTTAAAGACTCCTTTTTTCTTGAGATCCTATTTCGGGATTATACAAGCCTAGCCATGCGTAAGTTAAGCCATGTTTGTGCTTACAGGTTACACCAGAAAACTATGAATTAGAAATAGAGTTCTACCTCTTCCAGGACAGAAATGGTGGTAGGAGTATAATCTAGTTGGCGGCCTCCATGGTTGGAGACAACAATCCCAGCAACACCTACTTCCACAGCCTTTCTTGCTGAAATGGTAGAAAGAAGTATTCAGAAGGGCTAATGCCAAATTTGACTTCAAGTGTCAATCCATTGTATTTCACTGAGTCGATTATTTTGACTGATCATCATGCTTTGAATACCGGGAGAAGTTAACATTTACGAGACCTTTTTCCTTTTTACACAAATTGATCTTTCCCTTTATGAGTTAATACTTACAAGACATAAAGATAAAGATACGATTATTTGGAGCCTTGATCAGTTCATCTTACCAACTTCATGAGTGAGTACTCCTTTGATCAGAATTGGCAAGTTTGTAATAGATTTCAACCACTCTATTTCCTGCATATGCGATGCAATAACTAAAAATTTAAGAAGAAAAGAAACCAGGTAGCACACAGGCACAAAAATGAGTATAAAACTTAGGCACTTTAATGGATGTCTTATAGCCTCAATCTCTGCAGAAAGTTACAAACTTGCAACCGAGTAAAATCTGTATAAATCATGCATCTTCATAGTGTAATCCCAAAAACAGAAAAAATAAATAAAATAATTAGCCTCAGAGTGAAAAGATCTGTAGCATAGAACATCGAATCATATGACTGTGTAATGAGAAGACTCAACTGATTCGTACCTCCCAGCACAAAGAAGCATCAAACGTCTCTTTGACAAAAGCTTCCACTTTCGATCCTTCATCCTGCAGAGTAAGTGTCATCCGTATAGATAAACATATACTTTCACTTGGATCATACAACTGACAAGCAAAACTTATTTCAATCAGCACAGAGACATTCACGTTGTGAATAATCACAATGCACAAGATTTACTCTTTGGATTAGTTTGTTAAAAAGTTATCAAATAGTGAAAAGAAAAATTAGTAAATAAACAATACACGTCTCGACCACGTTCTCAAGAATCTGTAACAGGATTGTGGATAATTTGGAAACAAGGGTCATATTTCCACTAACAGTTGGTGAATAATAAGTAGAATGGATTATGGAAAACCTAAATAACCTGATTAATTTACTCAGAGGCAGTGATGCGCAGCATCTCACTTTCTAGGCTTAACAAGTTAAACATTTTAAAGTACAAATAGAACATGATATTATGAGAAAATAATACATAATACCTATTCCTAACTAAACAATTACACTCACAGAGTTTAGGTCAGTTGATAAAATGCCTTCAAAGTTCTTCAACTGAGGTGCAACCATTCTGCAGAAGTTGTCACAGTCATGTTTCAAATGAGATGCATAAGATATAGTTCAATCCACCACATGAGAGTGTTAATTAACAAAACAACATTTGATATGTAACACATAAAAGTTTCTTTCATGGCATAAAGCAAGTTATATCACACTTCAAAACCAATAATTTCCATGGCATGGAGAAACAGAACACAAGCAAAATGAGATGACATGAACCTATTCTTTATGTCTGCCTCTCTTCGACCAACAGTTAAGACAATAGCCTTGTATCCACTTTTTTCAGCTCTCTGAACTATCTGAGCTGATATATCTCGTCTCTTGTAAACCTGTTCAGGAAAGGTACCATTTGATATGATATCTTGAGCCCCAGTAGGCATGACAGAAACTGAAAAAACTGTAAACAAGAAGAAAATTCCTGTAAAGAAAAACTTGTCTAGTGAAATTAAAATGAGTTCAAGAGAGAATAAGTACATATAATTGAAAGAACCGAATAGCATTGCAGCTGGAAGCAACGTCCTCCACAGTGCACGTAGACATGTTGGATAAAACCTACAATGAAAAATACAACAATTCAAAAACCTAACTACACATGTATTAGCTCAATATATGTTACAATTATACCATTATGGTGTTGCATGCTGCTGCTGCTCTAGCAGTGGCGACCTCTCCTGTGGTAAATATAAAGAGCAGGTTAAAACTAGCAGTGTCTGAAAGCAAATCTTAACCGAGAACTCTTCAAATACGATTAAGACCTTCGGGGTGGGCTAACTGATGCCTAGCTGTAGGAGCAATCATTATAGGTGCTGAGATTTTGTAACCCAATACAGTAGTTGACATATCTATTTTGCTAACATCTACAATAACTCTAGGCCGCAACCTGAAAGAAATACGTAGAAATCACTCAAGCAAATATGTTGTATTTGACGGTATTCGTCAGCAGGTTTAAACATTACATGATTCTGCGAAATGCATCAACATTCTGCTTTAGCGTGTGCTGGTCCTCAGCTCCCCCAGTATAGAAATCATAGTACATTTTTGGAAGAACTTGCCTAGCCAATTCTCGGAACTCATTCACATTGCCAGGTTCGGTGGCCATTTATCCTGGGAACATACACATTGATCAATCATAGCTTTCGAGTTTCGAACAGTGCATCCTAGATGATACGACATAAACATCGGAAACTACAAGGAAAGGGCTATAGATTTTTCTTAGAATCTACAGAACTGGATGAACATCCACTGCAATTTTATAATGGACATTTCAGAAGGAAATAAAGGGAAAAGTTATGGGGCCTCTATAATCCCAAACAATTTGTGTTTGTCAAATATTCACCAACTACTGAATTATGTGTTTTGCCATCCAAAAGACTTACTTCACAATTAGCACTAAAACAACTAAGAAATGCCTCAAAAGCTTTGAATCAAAACCATCAGAAAGAAAGCATGTTGATCCACTAAAAATATGTAAATTCAAGCTCACATGGTAACAAATAAGCTGATCTTAAACCAAATAGTAAGCTACACACCTATGACTTGAGACTTGGAGAACCCAAAATTTTGCCGTTCTGAAGAACTGCAGAGAAATAGACAATCGTACTGGACTGTTTCTAGGAATAATGATCACTTTTGTTTCTTTATGTGGGGCCCGAGAAAGATTAGAGAATTATCAAGGCTGACTGATTTAGACATTAATTTACTCATTGCATGACTGTTTTGTGAGCAAGTCATTTTCTGGCAAGTTGTTTATATTTTTTTCAATTTTTTTTTAATACAAACGGAGGAGAGAATCAATATTAGGACATGAGGTGCACGAGTAAAGATTCTTATCACTTGAGCTACGAGTTCTTTGCATTTTTACCCTATAATCATGGGCAGCTCTCATCCTCCCTCTTAATCTCATCATCACTCCCATTCTCACTCTCATTTTCCTCTATACTCTAGCACAAAGAATAAAATCTAAAAACTAAAATTGAAATGGTTATCAAACAACCGTAAACTTATAATAATTTATAATAGTGGGATAATATCGTTAAGAGTGTTTTTAATTTTTATTTTCAAATTTGTTAAGTATTCAATCAACTACTACTACTTCATACTTATTTTATTAAATTGGATTGTAGCAGCATTTTTGCTTAAGTTGGGGTAATTTAAGGAATTTTAAATGTTATCTACACTTGTGAAAGAAGCTATTTGAGTGTGTGCAAATAGACTTCTTTTTCTGTTTCTGCATATGTTGATTTGCTTATTTCAGCCTCTCTACAAGTTTCATTTCCCAAATTTAAGGCTGAGACTGACTAAACTGATTGAGAAATTCATTTGACATGTTTACTAATCCGTAATCGGGTTAGAGGAATTGAATTGAGGAAGAGTTGGAATCCGGATTCTTATTAAAGTTGTTTACTAAACTATGCGGAATAGGGGTAGGAATATTATCGATTCCTTATAAGTTGTTTACTAAATTCTCATAAATCGGAATTGAAACTAGTTTGATTACTAAAACCTCCCACCTAAGAGTCCAATTTACTCCTAATTTTCTGTGAGCCCCACTTACTTTTCCATTCTTATATGTGAAGTAAATTCGGGAGTAATCTATAATCGAAATTCAACTCCTTATTTTGATTCCCATTTCGGATTAGTAAACATGCCAAGAGATTATATAAAAATTCGTGGGGTACATGTGATCTTCATTAAAAAGTTGTTCACTTGTCACAAATAACAAAACAACATCAAAAACATGTTCAATCACTATGTTTCTCCACTAATATAACTTGAGCATTCCCACCTAGGACCTCCTTTGCTCAAGAGACCACCTCTCTTCACTCCTTTGACTGTAGTTCTCTCTCATTCCATAAGAAAATTTGCTGTTCACACAAGTTCCTTTTCTCATGAGGCCACCTCTCTTCCCTCCTTTCATTGTAATTCCCTCTTATTGCATGAGAAAATTTGCAGTTGTTTCCATAATAACATCTACCCTGAGCATAATATTTGCACATCTGCTTTTGCCCTTGTGGACTTGTCGGAAGAAAGTGGTTCACACTTGTCAATGGCTGTCTTTTATTGTACACTCTTTCTGTGTTGTTTGAATTCCTACTCTCATTCAATTTCTGAGAAGCTTGGTTGAAATACCTATCTTGCATTGTAGTATTCTTTGTCAGTTGAGGTTGAATTGTCACCTTTCTGGAATCAACAAAAAAACCTGACTTTGGAGCTGGAGGTTGAGTTGCTGGATTTTGTGAATAGACAACAAACCCTGATTGGTGAATTTGAGTTGCTGGTTTTAATGAAGGGTCTCTTGATAAATCAGTAAACAATCCCAATTGCGGAGCACACACTTTCGTATTTCCTGAATGAACTGATATACCAACTAGTTGATGTAGGTTTGCTGAGTTAACAAGTGAACCAGATTGCTGAGGTTGAACTGATGTTTTAAGCACCGAGGTTGAGTTAAACTGAGACTGGTTCTTTTTCGGTTCCTCCTTTCTTGAAACCCTGAAGTACAGAAAGCTTAGCTTGTTATGAAAAAATAAAATAACTGAAATTGTACTGTGAGCATTAGCAGACTAGCTAGATGTAAAACAACTAGCCTCATTAGCAGACTGCTAGATATAAAACAACTAGTTTCCATTGCAATCATATCCAATACCTATTTCTCTTGAGCATTTTTCTCATGTCCTTCTCTTGGACCCGTGCTTCTTTAGCAGTCCTAGCAAGAGATCCTCTTGTGTGCTTTTCCATCAGAACTTTCTGCCTCTCCCCTTCATCTTCCCATCTCTAAAGTTGACGAATAGAATTAATTACCATAAAAAAGATTCTCAAATGATGACAAAGGAACAAAAGTTACTTAGGACAGACCTGTCTCAAAGTTTTCAACCTGTAAAGGTTCCGACCCTTAATTAGAAGGGGATGAAGTGGAGGGAGTGGTTTTTCACCCTTGCTCCAGAGTACCTCAATCTGGTCAGAATAGCCAAGAGCAGCAATTTTATCAACTGCAATAATATGAAGACTTAACTTGCTCGTTGAGTTATAGCTTTCCATCTAAAATCAGTATAATCTTCTGATTGGTAATTTACAGCCACTTCAATTTTATGAAATTATTATTTCAATCTAAATGAAGTTTAAAATGCAGCGCAATTGTTTTTAACACTTCTATTCTTTGATAAAAATCATAAGATTCTTGGACTCACTGTAAATGTGTGCTGCTGTTTAGCAGCGCCATAGCTTTCTTTAACAATTCGGCCTGCAACAATCCTTGTGCCACATGGAGGGCCTCTTCCACTCCTAGAAGCTATGTCAAATCTACAAAGATAAAAGAACATTAACACTAGAACGTCAAAGTCCCGGGTACAAATTTGGGGAGGGGCTTAGCAGTACTTGTGATCCTAATTTCCAGTTTCCATGAGAATCATAAAGAAAATAAACCAAGCGCTTTTTAATCAACTAGCAAAGACATTGAATGTAATATGCAATAATACACGTAGTACATGGCTGCAACATCAAAATTAGAGGTATAACTACTTTAATCATCTAACTGTAAAAATAAAACACAAATAAAAACAAAAGCTTACATTTCATAAACATTTTGTTCAAACATGACAACATCGCTAGTGCATGCATCCCCTGCATAAGGTCATCGTATTAGTGGGTTTTAAACACTAGAGGAATGAAAAATGTTAAGTACACCATCTTAGTGGAAGAAAATTGAGACATACACAAGGAATGATATGATTGCAAAGATTATCTTATGATTCTATAACGAGTGATGAGGGAGGGTTTATAGGCAGGGGGGAACAATCTGTGTTTTCGTAACATAGCCTAGGATCAAATAGAATAATGACGATAATAACAATATGCATTAACTTAGCAAGCATACCTTTACAATTCAAAACAAAGCTAGATGCTGGGTACTTCTTCTCACCTTCACCATTCAAAATCCTGAGGAACATAAACGAACTTCAGAAATGGGAGGATTAATCATATCTCCAAAAAGCTAGTAAAGTGGCTGAAATTACTCTAAATGCTCCTTAATCCGCTGAATGAGCATGTCTTTATTGCCAGTCAATCTCAACCCATTCTTCCTCAGGTACAGCTTACATTGCTCCACTTTCAATTTCTCAATTTGTCTAGCTGCCACCCAACAATGACAGAAAAACGCAAACTTATATTAGTACACAAAAGATGAACATGACCAGTTTAGTGTACATTTTTTGAGATCGGTTGGTCCAAATCGACATCTTCTTGACCTCAATTGGGTCACAATTCACAGAATCACATTGATATTACTTATGGCCTATAAACCTAATGAAAAAGGATAAAGCAGCTTCTTAGTTTAGGGAAGATAATACAAAACTGAAATTGATTAAAAGGGCAAAATTTCCTGAACGTTTGCCAATGCCATGTATTTTCTTCAATTTTTTCATTCTGAAGAACCAAAAAGTTAAAATTTCTGGGCTAACCTTCAATAATCTTTTGGACCATTTCAAAGCTTTTCTCATCTTTCTGGTCCAGCCCAGGTAAAACCACCTCCTGCCCATCAAGGTCCGCTTCACTACCAAGATCGATATCTTTAGCAATACTGCAAATGCAACAAAACTCATTTCAATTCCAAAACTTAATCATAGATTATTAGCATTAAATCAAAATTTAAAGGCAAAAGAAAAGAACCCATTAGCATAAATTTCCCTCTGATAAACCAGACACTAACCGAGTCTTTGAATTACGCTTGATTGAGAGCTTTGAGAAGTTGGCATGGGTTTCTTCAAGAGTACTGCTATAACTCGGGTCCTTCATCGAATCATCCGAATCATATTCCGGGTCGGACTCTCCGTTTTCCAAGAAATCTCCATCTTTTTCTTCATATTGATGATATTTAGATTGTTCAGAGGTTGCCATTGATGGGTTTCAATCTGGGTTTGTCGCTTAAACACCAAGAAGGTTGCTTTATACTTCTATTTAGATGGGAACTGTGGGATCTTTTTAGGGTTGCCTAAAGAGGGAAGTTTTATCAAATGCGACCGTTGGGATCATGTAGAGAACAATTTAAAATTGAGTATATGCAAACCTACCCACAAGCCTGAGTTGAGTCCTGTTATTGTTAGTAAAAATTAAAGAAATTAACAGATCAAGAGTTAACTTTCTGTTGAGTAAAAGGACACATGTTACAAAAAAAACGTGGAAATAAGGGGCACATGGAATTTTGTAAGGCCTTGTTTGGTTCATGGGAAATGAGACTTGGATAAGTCCAGGAAATCAATTGATTTTCCTTAATTGCTTTTGAAAATAGTATAGCCGGCCATACTCGTTTGTCTATTTATTTTTTTCTAAAAATAGTATAGCCGAACGGGTGTACTAGTGTGACGCACTAACGCATGCAGCTTAGGCGCTGGGCGGGTCTTTATACATTCGGCTATACTAGATTCTCTTTGAAATTTTTTAACTAATAGTATAGCCACTCGGCTATACGCTTTTTCCTTTAAAAAAAAAAAAGTATAGCCCCCCGTGCAGCTATATATTTTTAAATGAAAATTTAATCTCGGAAATTTCGCTGGAATATACCTGTGCAGACGAACATTCGTCGGGACAGATTTTTTTTTATAAAAAAAAATCTAAATATAACATTAGTTTCTTTGCTTTTGTTTTTTGGCCTACTTCTTCAATTTAATATATGTAATTAAGTAATATGTTAAGACTTTTTTAATTACGCTAGGTGTCACATGTTAAACCAGTAAAGCCGCCCGGCTATACTATTTTTAAAAAATAAATTGGGAAAAAGAGTATAGCTATTTCTTAAAAAATTTCAGAGAGAATCTAGTATAGCCGTATGAATATATAAAGACCAGCCCAGCGCCTATGCGCTACGCATCAAACGCGTACGGCCAGGCGGCTATACTATTTTTTTAAAAAATAGAAAAACAAGTATAGCTGCCTGGCTATACCATTTTTAAAAGCAATTAAGAAAAACTGAGTATAGCCGTCCGACTATACTATTTTTTTCTTTCTAATATATATTGTTTTGATTCAATATTATGTGAGAATTATGTGTGTAATGGTTAAGTAATCTATATTTAATTAATCAAAATGTTAGCCTTGGGGCTCTTGGGCTGTATGATTTAAATTAAACCCAATTAGTTAAGTAATTATTGGAATTATTTTTAAAATTCAAACATCATATTTTTTTTTTTTTTTTTTTTTTTTTTTTTTTGTTTGGATGTTGTTATTTATTATATCGCAAAGAAACATTCACATCATCATTCTTGTGTAGCCGCGTAGATAAACACAAAAATAGAATTCAAAGCCCTAGTGCTAGGACTTTGATTTAGAAACTTGTATCCTAGTGGAGCAAACGCCATATTTAATTTCATTATTCTATTTTTTGTTTAAAATATAAATTCTAATTAAAGTAATTAAAAAGACTAACATATTACTTAATTACATATATTAAATTAAAGAAGTAGGCTAAAAAATAAAAGTAAAGAAACTAATTTTATATTTTTTAATTAAATTTTTTTTTTAAAAGAAAAGAAAGAAAAACTCTCGACGAATGTTTGTCAGCACATGTCTGGTGAAATTTCCCATATTAAATTTTCATTTTTAAACAGTATAGCCGCACGGCTATACTATTTATATACACAAAAATGGACTCGCCCACGGCCTAGGTGCCACGTGTCAAAACTGTAACGCCGCCCGGCTATACTATTTTCAAAGAAACAAATTGGGAAAAAGAGTATAGCCGAACGGCTATACTATTTCTTAAAAAATTTCAAAAAGAATCTAGTATAGCCGGACGGCGATACTATATATGAATATATAAAGACCCGCCCAACGCCTATGCGCCACGCTTCGAACGAGTACGGCCGTGCTGCTACTCCATTTTTAGAAGGAAAAAAAATAGAAAAACGAGTATAGCCATGCGGCTATACGATTTTCTTTTTAGTATATATTATTTAGATTCAATAATATTTGAGAATTAGGGGTGTAATGGTTCAGTAATATATATTTAATTAATCAACAGGTTAGCCTTGGGCCTTGGCGCTCTTAGGCTATGTGATTTAAATTAAACCCGATTAGTTAATTAATTATAGAAACAATTAGGAAACAATTGAGTATAGCCGCGCGGCTACACCATATTTTAAATATATATTATTTTTATTCAATAATATGTGAGAATTATGTGTATAATACGTGAATTTTGTGTGCCTTATTAAAATTTTTGTAAAAACATGTGTATTAAACATGAGAAATATGTGCATACGTGTATAATATATTATTAAACGTGAAAGTGCTAAAATCTTTATACGAGTATAACTCTAGAAAAATAAAAAATAAAAAAGGGATAATAGATACTCGAGTAGTGGCCTAATAGTAATGGATAGGGCTCTTGGGCTATGGAGAAATTTAATTAAAACACCCAAACGATTTCACAAAAGACTTAATAAATAGAAATTAATTATTTTGTGGACTTAAAAAAAAAGAAATAATAATTAAAATATAATTACTAATTAAATCAATCAAAATAATAATTAAAAAAATTCTAAAAATAATCTAGTATAGCCACCGTGGCTATACTATATGTGTATATACAAAGACCCGCCCATCTACATGTTTCTACATGAAATATATTTATGATAATCCACCCTTTATATTATTCATATCCACCCTTCATGGGAAAGTAGAGGGGAAAGTGAAGTCATCCTCCCAACATGGGTTTTGTTTTCCCTCATCATGGGAAAGTTAGAGAAAATAAGCCAATATTAAATAAACATTTTTTATGACCATTTTGTCCCCATTAACAATTTAAAATTACAATATATCATTAAATGCATTCTTTTTTTATTTGATTTAATATGGGTATAATTGAAAATTTATACAAACTTTGTTTTCCATTCATACTTAAAACAAATATGGGAAAGGAAATAAAGTGATATTTTCTGATTACTTTCCTAGCATTACCAAACGTGGGAAAGGAATCTTCTATTTCTCATCCCTTGGGAAATGACATGGGAAATGATTTCCCCTCAAATTCGTTCCGTGAACCAAACGGGGCCTCAGAGGAGAATTGGATTACACAAGACTTTTATTTTGCTAGACATGGGGCCCAATATACCTCTTCACTTTGAAGTAGGCAATATTGCCTTGTTGGGGAGAGCAGGTATATTTTGTCTGTCCATTTGTCTTTTCTCTTGGAGCATGAAAATGCTGATGTGGCAAGGTAAATAAGGTTTGCCTGCTCTTTTGCCTCTTTCCTTGGAGATTCTCGGGCCCAAATCCACATATCATAAAATTCAACTGAAATGGATGGGATGGGTGAGAGGGTAGGTGTCAAGTTTGTTTTTTCTTATAACCATAAAATCTAGCTAGGCAACCTTCATTTCCCAAAGGATTCTTTGTTTTTATGTTTAATATGCGGATATTATTCTTGTATTTTCCCAATGATTCTCTGGTTTATTTTATTCGTTTGATATTGTATTATGTTGATATTAGTCTAACATATTATGTTGTTCGTAAGTTCAAATCAATGATCAAACATATCATTGTCCAAATCTAATAGAGCGGTCATATATTTGAATTGAAACCAGATGTTGTACTTGACTAGACATACTTGTCACAAGTGTTCTGTTACATAACACCTTCATTAGGATCCTAATACCATGGAAGCTTAACAATTAATGCATATTCATTTGGTCAATTCAGACTGCGATTTGATGACACAATGCCGTCCATAATTCTTGTAAAATGATGCCCACATAGGAATATTCAGATGCGAAAGCATATCTTTTAAGGATCCTTTTTAAGCAAATAAATAAATCCCTGGGGCTTAAGCAAAACAACAAATTAACAATCCATGGGGTCATGAACACAAATAAAATATGCAGTCCTTGATTTCTAATGTAGCCATTTGCTTCATTGCATTAACGAAACCGCCTGTTTGCTGCTTCTGCTGGCTTAATTGTTAAGCACAAGTCAAGCAAACGTGTAAGTTTTCAATTCCATTTAATCTTATATCTAATGCATGGAGAGTTAAAGTTGTTTGAAATTCTTCCCTGTACAAAGAAACTTGTTTTGGGGCACTGCATGCCTGCCTTTCTTCATGAGAGCACCAAAATTCCTAATTTTACGAAAAGAAAATTTGTGTGAGGGAAGTTAACATCAAACATCCCATATTTAGATGTCTTTGAAATCAATTAACTGAACGTGACTGACTTGGTTGGCATGCAAAAAATACATTTTAAGGGAAACTCTGTCAAGGTTTTTCTTTTCATGCTAGCTTCTCAGCAAACCTTTTGGTTCTGACTTAGTCTCATTTCTTGCTAATATTATAGGGGGTCTTACTTTGGCTTCTCAATCTTACTTCTTTTAAATTGAAACCCTTTCAAAAGTGTTTCAGATTTTCCATCAGTGTCTTCTTGGGTTTTGTTTGTGTGAATTCTCATTGTCTTCAATGGCTTCTTCGTCTATGGCCTCACCATTCTGTACATGGCTACTTGCTGCTTGCATATCTTCTCCATATGAGAAAGACCACCCTATGAGGTCCTCTATATTTCAGTCTCCGAAGAGACTAAGTCAGTGGGCGAGAAGAAAGAAGCTCATTTCGAAATGCAGCTATGTTGGTGGGGCAGATTTTGCTAGCAATTTGAGTTCCTCATTCTCTGTATCTGGCATTCATAACCTGATGAGTTCTTTCCTGGCTGCTGAGCCCTGCTATGATTCTAAAGTGCTGTATGAATCTTTGGCTTTCTTTGGGTCAAAGAGGTCAAGGACTAGAAGGCAAAGGCAAATGAATGGTGCTGTTCACTCTGGTAAATGTTTCATTTCGGAAAGTGATTATTTTTCTTGACTCTTGTAGAATTCGTTCCAGTTCATAAGCAAATTTTCCTTCTTCTCAATTTCAATTATTCTAGACTTGTGCAGCTGACATTTACGTAGTTCAACTTAGTCTTTGTTGACTGTCCAAAAAAAATTTGTTGTGTTGTTTGTACAAGTACCCAAATGACTTGATAACCTGTTAGCCAAAAAACCAAATGGCTTGAAGACACATGGAAGTTCAGTGTCTTTATGGTCTTAATCTACCAATTTAAAGCTTAACTGTTTTTTCTTTCCCATGGTGTTAGGCATAACTATGGCTGTGCCTGTGCAAAGAGCAGAACAAGGCACAACAAAGAAAAAACCTCTAATAAAACAAAGGCGGGTTGTTGTGACAGGATTGGGTGTGGTAACCCCGCTTGGACATGATCCAGATGTCTTCTACAATAGTCTTCTTGAAGGTGTCAGTGGCATAAGTGAGATAGAGGCTTTTGACTGTGCTCGATTTCCCACGGTAGATTTTCTTTGGCTCAGCTTCATTTTGTTGCATCTTAAAGATATGCTGACTCTAGTATCCTTTCAAACAGAAAATTGCCGGAGAAATAAAGTCTTTCTCAACAGATGGATGGGTCTCGCCAAAGCTTTCTAAGAAGGCAGACAAATTTATGCTTTACTTGATCAGTGCAGGAAAAAAAGCATTGGCAGATGGTGGGATTACAGAAGAAGTTATGGACAATTTAGATAAAAGCAGATGCGGGGTCATAATTGGCTCTGCACTGGGAGGAATGAAAGTAAGTTGAGCTTTGCATATAAATTAGCTAGGGGGCAAAATGGCTAAAAATTTCAGTTTTGAAATCCTGTTAATAATTCCATAAGCCACTGCTTAGTAGATCTGTTGTGGTTAAAGAGGACATCATATAACCTCTAATTGAATCTCACTTAAGGAACGAATAAGGACAGTGTAAATTTCGTGTCCAGTATCAGTTACTTCAAATGGTTAAAGAACCAAGTTATGTATTTACTTTCTTCTCCCAGTTTATCTACTTATGAAATTTTTTTATCAGGTTTTTAATGATGCAATAGAAGCATTGAGGATTTCGTACAAGAAGATGAACCCCTTCTGTATACCTTTTGCAACAACTAACATGGGTTCAGCTATACTAGCAATGGATTTGGTAAAGTTCAAAGGCAATGTTGGGATTGTAGGATAGGCTCAATGCCATATATTAATGTCTTTCCAACCTCGTAGCCATTTCTAAGTTTCCAACTTTCAGGGTTGGATGGGCCCTAACTACTCAATATCTACAGCTTGTGCCACCAGCAACTTTTGTATACTAAATGCTGCATATCATATTATGAGAGGTGAAACTGTAAGTTAATTTTTACTCGGTCTTAGACAGACATGAGATCGATATAATTTCCACTTTGGATCAACGATATATGATATGTTGTGACCGTGATTAAATTTGCAGGACATGATGCTTTGTGGTGGATCTGAAGCAGCAATTATCCCCATAGGTTCAATTCCTGTCATTCTTAATCCATGTAATTCAAATTACAATCTCTGCAACATATGAACTTAATCAAGTTTCATGGTTGATGAACGTGCAGGCTTGGGAGGTTTTTCGGCATGCAAGGTTCTGTCGCAAAGGAATAGTGAACCAACTAAAGCTTCATGCCCTTGGGATATTGTACCGCTTTTCCTTAAACTAGTTTCATAGTTCACCTTCTTTTTATCTTTCATTCCTTTAATGTTTTAAGTCCTGACTTAAGATGTAATTTTCTGTCCAAAAGAATCGTGATGGTTTTGTTATTGGAGAAGGAGCTGGGGTTTTGCTCTTGGAAGAGCTAGAACATGCTAAGGTTTGCTAATCAATTTCTGTAGTTTTCCCATTGATTGTTGAAGTTTCATACACCCACATATTTATCGCTCAAACCCTCTTCCCCCCTCTCAATAATATCACAGAGAAGAGGTGCAAATATATATGCTGAGTTTCTAGGTGGAAGCTTCACTTGTGATGCATATCACATGACTGAGCCTCATCCTGATGGTATGTATCAAGTATTCTAACCACAGGTTCTTTTTCAAAGCTTAAAAGAGCTATTGTGTAAAGGTCCATGTGATTGTTTGCTTACCAACCATCATTTATTTATGTCTTAAATCAGGAACAGGTGTTGCTCTTTGCATAGAGAAAGCCTTGGATCAATCTGGGGTCTGCAGAGAAGATGTGAATTACATAAACGCCTATGCTGCATCGACACCAACAGGTGATCTGAAAGAATATCGAGCTATAATCCGCTGTTTTGGAAAGAATCCAGAGGTAAAGTGAGAGCTTATTATTAGTCACTAAGCTATCAAACTACTCCGGTGGTGCTCAGTTATGTTTCTAACAATTGCAGCTAAGAGTAAACTCCACAAAATCCATGATTGGTCACCTTCTAGGAGCCTCAGGTGCTGTGGAAGCTGTTGCAACAATCAAGGTAAGTTAGCTTCTGCTTCCTTACTGCATCTTGGTGAAAGAAGTTTTTCAAAGAAGTTAGAGCCTTAATTTCTAGTTTTGATGTTATCATACATTAATCAGAAGACAGAAGTGGTTTGTTTTCTAAATGGATATTAATAGTTTTTCACAACTTCACACTATGGCCTAGCTCTTAAGAACAGCTATTGGTTTCTTTTGGCTTACAAATAAGAATTACAAATTGATGTATGGTTTCTTTTCAAATGTAGGCTATACAGACAGGATGCATCCATCCAAACATCAATCTTGAGAACCCAGATGAAAGTGTGGTATGCATCTCTAGTTGTTTATAATCAAATGTTATCATTTCGGTTATCATTTCGGTGTGAAAGACTGTCACCGAAATGATCACCAAAGTTCGGGGGGTATTATTCATTTTCTGTCACTCATGAGATGACCCTCGAAACCTACTTGCTTATTATCTAGGTCCCTTATTCTTGTAAGTGTGCTATTTTGTTTCTAACACATCTGAATATGAGCAGGACATGAATGTGCTTGTTGGCCCCAAGAAGGAAAAGTTGGACATAAAAGTTGCAATGTCTAACGCATTCGGATTTGGTGGACACAACTCTTCTATCTTATTTGCACCCTGCAAATGAAATTAATAAATTTGTATAGATCTCAAACTTGGAAACTCCACCCCATGATTATACAAGAAGATACTGATGAGTATACTAGACTAGCTGCACTTCCCAGTTCACCAAACTCCTTGTACTCCCAGTTTTATTTATTTATTTATTAATTTTAGAATAATATCCTTGTACTTCCTTTGCTTTTAGAAAAAAGCTTGTTGGTTCTTATCAGAAGAAGAAAAAAAATGCGAATTATGATAAATTTGTTTAGACCTCATATTTTAAGAAAATGAATCCATGCAGAAGAGCATTTTGGCTTATAAATCGGTATCTGTAATCAAGCTTCATGTGTTTGATGGTTTATGCTATGCTCTTTGCGATTTGTTTACTGTTTGTATGACAATGTAAGCAAAATGCAATAACTTGGATCACAATAAACGAAAAACGTTTCAAGTTGTCACTTAAGCACTTCGAATTTAACTGGAAGCTCATTTCACATGGCCTATCAGAATACCAAAGTTCATAAATAGGATAAGACTAAAGCTACAGAGCAGGCTGCATAAAAACAAACAATAATAGACAGGAATGAATGAAATTGAGAATGTATATGTATAAATAACAAAATCTATTCCCTTTAACAACTAGTATGATAAGATCTGATTCCTCAAGCTGTTCTTGAGGGTCTCTCTTCCATAGGGTGGATATGTACCCATCAGCAGAGGTTCTTACAGATTAATTTTCTCAATCAAACTCAGTGACCAACAAAAGTAAGCCCAAAACATCATTAAATCTTTCCTGCGGATAACCCAGCCAATCTGAAGTTCCCAACCCATTGATTATACCAGATGGAAGCAGTCCACCGCAACAAACAGATGCCCGTCAAAATCGTCACAGTTTCAGAACAAAGATGAAGTAGCTTTGATCATCGGAGCTTTATTACCCAGAAAAGGAGGAAAACAAGTCCTAGCACAATGGCAACAGGAGCCCACTTTTTGATCAGAGCCTACAATGAAAATGTGTGAGATGAGATGAGATGAGAAAGTAAATATCAGCTATATATGCTACTCAGAATATAAAAGTTTAATTATGATCAAAATGCTTTGACAGAAACAGCTCAATCTAGAGAGCTCATGGCAGATTGGAAATTCTTCCTAATTGAAACAAATGCGGCTATAAAAGAAAACACCTATTTCATAACAATAAAAAAAAAGGAGGACCATGGTCCAGGTAGTAGGGAAAAATACAAATAAAATGAAAACAATTCAATCATGAGCATACAGCACCATCAGCCACAGTTAATTGAATTTTATAAGCGCATAGGCATGAATAACTAACAGAATTTGAACACGCATTCCACTAAATAAAGAAACGGTATCATGTAAATGCCTCATCCACAGTTGTATTCATGCTGATCATAAGATAATACTACTTGATTTGAACTTGTGACACACAAAATATGTCCAATCCAAGAGTACGGTAATGGAAACAATTGGACACTACATCATTCAGACGAGTATTGAGGACAAGGTGTTTGAAAACGCCATACATCTCTAAGTTAGATAGCATATATAATATTAGTTTAAACATCGCAACTCATGAGATAAGAGACTAACCTGTCGATTCAAATCTCTCGCCTTATCAGCATATATGCGAGATTCTGATGTTAAACGGCTAGACATTTGACTGACCTCTGCAAAATTCAAATTCAAGAGGAAATTTATGACCTATATACACAAACAAAAACTTTCACGTAGAAGCAAATAGAAACTTACGGTCCAACTTTTCACCAACACCAAGAACTTCCTGAACATTGCGAGTCATTATTTGGTGGACTTCATAGAGCTCATCGTTCAACTTTGCAATATTCCGCTGAGTGCGAGTGTCCTGGTACAATTTCTTTGTTTTCTGTATGAATGTATCTTTTAAACATAGAAAGTAAAAGGAAATCAAACCCAGCAAGCGGAGCACCAATATGTACACAATAAGTGCAGAATAATTCCACATAACATCTGGATCACTAATTTCTGGAAATAGACCTACCAAATTTAATGAACGCATAAGGTCTTGCAGCAGTTTCAATTTGGGTCCCATTAACACGCTCAAATTCATTTTTGAGATCTTCAAGGTATTGGAAGGCAAGTTTCTTTGGATAGGCACGGTCACACATTGTCAAGTAACAGACACGTCCTTCTATGATATAGCTAAGAACAAAGGTCAAGGCAATAACATTTGTATGCTCTTCCTCTAATGAGAAGAATAAATAATACAACACTAAGACACAACATCGATAAAACATATTACTAAATGACTAAACATAAGTGAAAGGAAAAACAAACAAACAAACAAACTGCGTGCACAAAGACACACAGGTCTAATTGATATACTAAAAGATTATTATAATGCAAGTATGCTAGAAGACCATATGTCTAATTGATATACTAAAAAATCACAAACCCCAAACCAAACTTTGCCAGTGGAATGATGCATGCGATGACATATCCTCTAAGTTAAGAAAACTGAAAGTTACAGTGCCTCTCATATCTCGTGCACACTAAAGATGATCAACTTAACTTTTTATAACAGCAGCAGCTACATGGTACTAACATAGTATCTGCTACTAATAGATTAAGTCAAAAGACATGCACAAAACCGCACAGATGTATTTATCAACAAAGTTCCATAAACTATCATTTCTTCATATTGCACCTAAACCCTGTACTAGTAAATTGTATCAACTCCTATTAAAAAAACAAAAGTAAATTGTAAAAACTCAGTATATCATGAAGAAGAAATAAAAGATGACAATATGGACGCATGTTAGGGGAGAGAAGTCAGAAGGATACTGGAAAACGTAAGGTCCGGTTTCGACTGACATCCTTGAAGGCTCATTTTGACCTCTTGACAAGTTCTTGAATAGGGCCTTGACTTGTTGTTTGTAGAATTCCGAGTCTTGTATATCACGGCCATCATCCAGTCCCTCTGCTAGTGGAAGACCGTCAGTAACACGAGCTATCATTGTCAGCTTCACCATCTTCACTTCACAACTTCCCAGCAATGCGAAAATGACTGCGATATGTTAATCGTCAAATCACAGATCCAGGAGACGTTGGACAAACCAAACTACTCAGAAATGCAATGATAATATCCCCAAATTGCCAGATAGCCTTACAATTTATATCCATCTGCATATGAAAAGGATCTAATCCGGCAAAAAATAACTACTTTACGGTTGATCTAATCCATATCTAACACAGTTAATTCCCAAAACATACCCAATTTTTCTTTTTTATGATTAATTGGGGTTTGCATACAAAAATCATAAACACCCACTTCTCAAATTCCAGTTGATCGATCACAAGGCATCAAAGATCAGACTCAACCCTTCAACCATCTAAAACCATTCGTCCCTAAAAAAACCCCAATACACCAATTTTACACAAGTTCTCTTCAATCATCACAAATGCCGAAAATTCCAAAAACTTTTCGATAAATCTGAGAAATTAGACGAGAAATCTGAACAATTGAACATTTGTACAGCACAGAACACGTACCTGCTTATAGCATTGACCTGAGGAACGGTGAGGACGATGGTGCAATCTGAGGCAGAAGAATTCGAAGCTGTGAAGAAGGGCTTGGCGAGGACCAAAAGGAGAAAACGAGGGTTGGTCTTTGAGTTTAATCTGCGATCTCCTGCGGTATAGGTGTTGTACGTGAAGAGCAAAGCTTGAAATTTCCAAGGTACAACATCTAAATGCAGTCAGGCTCGTGAACGACAACGCGTCGGGCCGCCCATTTAAATAACGCTGTCGGTCAATAGTTCACTTTACGACGAACCGTTGAGTGTTTACTAAATAAATGGGCCGACCGGAGTCCGCAATTAACAGGCCTGACTCGCTGACCCAATTAATTTACAATAAACAAATAATTAATTAAATAAAAAAGAAATTCCTAATCAATAAAAACAAATAATTAAAGTATCAAGAATAGTTCACTGTTCTTCTTTACTAGGCTTTATAACTTTCTTAGGAATGAGTGCAGGCCGGTGATTATTTTGAAGTGTCAATAATAATTTTGTGTTGTTTTTTTATTATTAATTTGAAATTAAATATTTTAGTATTTTCCAATATTTAATTCAAGGACTCATCTTGGCTTAAGGTTCTAGTATAGATGGTCGAGATTAACAATATGCAAAATTGTTTTTTCAATTGTCTTACTTGTAAAAATATAGTAAAAAAAAAGCTATAATATCACCCATTTCAATCGAAATTAAATTTTTTCACAAATTGAATGAATTTTTTATATAAATGATATTGGGGGATTCAAACAACTTCTCGGTGAAATGACAACTACTTCTAATTACTTGAGCTATAAATTTCTTGTTACAAATTCAATGACTTTTTCATATTGAAATTAGAAACTTTTGTGTGATTTTTATAAATCATTGTATTTTTCACAAATAGTTAAAATTTAAAATAATAAAAAAGAACAAAAAGGTACACTCCACCGAAGGTGAAAAGCCCAAAACAACGGTCGATATTTAATGGAGCCGGTAGCAAAAAAGGCTCACCTTTCCAATATTCCCTCCCTCCAAAAAAAAAGGCACAAACTGCAATATTCCATCGTCTTCTTTATAGATCAATAAACTTCCTTTTCATTTCCTCACTTCACTTCTAAGGCGTTTCCTTTCGTTTCTTCCAAAACCAAGCGTAATTTTCCCGCCAAGTATATCAGCAAAGAGCCAGCTAGGTCTGAGGAGACTCCATGGACAACCGTGGTCAAGCTCGAGGAAGCCCTCGAGGCGGAGGGTTCTCCGCGAATCGTGGTCAAGCTCGAGGAAGCCCTCGAGGCGGAGGGTTCTTCGTGAATCGTGGTCAAGCTCGAGGAAACCCTCGAGGCGGAGGATTCTCCCCGAATCGTGGTCAAGCTAGAGGAAACCCCCGAGGTGACCGACATTCTCCACGCACCGGCGGCCACCCTCCCCTTCGCAACAGCCCTGTAACTTTATCACCACCCCTCTTTTCTATATTTCCTCTTATATATTTACAATACCTGTTTTTTTGGGCGTCTTTCCATCTTTTCTTTTACATGGGAATTCTTTTGCTCTGTCATTAATTCAAGTGAAAGACTCTTCTCTTACCTGCATCATGTGCTTTGTATAACAGTGCATTCAATTTTTGGCTTTAGGGTTTTTGAAATAATATGGAATGTAACGAGTGCGCTGGTTGAAAAGTTTGGAACTTTTTGTTTATTTGCGCTTTGAAATGGTTTGGGTTTTGGGTTTTGTTTAGAATGTGTTGTAGAAATTGGGTGTGAGTAAGAGAAATTTCAAGCCTCTGATGGTCCATGACTTACAAGTGGATATTCGTGCTTCTCTATATAATCACTTGTGCTCCGCAAATTTGGTGTCATTCTTGTTTTTTATTTATTAAACGTATTAAATGACTCTTTGCAGCATGCATGGAAAAGTGATGAGAAGAAAGTTTCATGTTCATCGTTTACATGAATTATATGACTTTTATTATTTTATTGCATGTATTAATTAATCTTGAACATGATTGTGGAGTTCAGTTGATTGACTGGTTTTTATTCACACTGATCACATAAACAGCAGGCCGGAGCTGGAACTCGTGGACCGTTTCCTAATGATTGTCCTGGTAGCAAGGAGTCCTGGTCTAACAGTGAAAAGGAAAGTCCCCAGCAAATGTCACCGAGTAGCTTCTCATATTATTCTGAGCATAAGTCTGCCTTCAGTAATTCACATCGGCAGGAATGGCATCTGTCTGGAAGAAAAGACACACTTCCCCGTGTGGAGAGTTTGAAAGAGGGACATGAATCAACTGAGTCTGCGAGCGTTAGACAAAAAGGTTTAAAGTGCTCAGTTGGTCCAGATTCAAGCCATGAAGGAGATTTTCCTTTGGGGGTAGAGAGAATGCATATAGGAGAAACCCCGAGCGATATGACAGGGTATGGTGAAACTTCTCTTGCCTCCAAATCTGAAGCCAGCAGTGGGGCTTTGCCTATTAACAGTTCTGTAAATATAACCGGCCATCAGAACCCAGAGCTTTCTGAACACTTGGCTTTTGATTTATGCCCAACTAAAGCTGGGAGTGGTGTTACCCTAAAGCCTCCTCTGCTAGTACAGAATAGAGAAAGGCGGAATGAAATCAAGCGCTCCATGGAACAGCAAAATGGTAGTGTTTTAGAGTCTGGAATGGTTCTTTTAAAGGGTTACCTTTCCCTCAGTGACCAGGTGCTGCTTTGTGCTCTTTTACTATCTCTATTTGCTGTGATAACTGATTAGTTTTCATTGTTAATCATTCCCCCCTGATAACTACATTGACCTTGAACTCTCATTAGTAAAGTAATAAAGCTTTTTGGAGGAGCTTTCTTTCCCTGTGGATTATCAGTACAACATAACTGTTACTTTCACTGTCTGAATAGCACTTGAAAACTGTAGAGTAAGTTGACTAATCGCTAGATTTTCTGTGTTTTATGTCTTCTAGATCAATATAGTGAAGCAATGCCGAGCCTTGGGTTTGGGTCCTGGAGGTTTCTACGAACCTGGTTACCGTGATGGAGCAAAGTTGAATTTGAGGATGATGTGCCTTGGTAAGAATTGGGACCCTGAGACGAGCTATGGAGATCACCGAACTATTGATGGTGCTAAACCGCCCAGTATTCCTGTTGAATTCTTTCGGTTGGTTAAAAGTGCAATCGAAGAATCCCATTCCCTTATAAGAAAAGATTCTAAAGTTAGCAATTCCGAAAGCATACTTCCATGGATGTCCCCAGACATTTGTCTAGTGAATTTTTACTCATCATCTGGGCGACTTGGTCTTCATCAGGTTTGTCATGAAAGAGCCTTAGCCATATTATCTGAGTGGTTGAATGCTAAACAGTTATTTTTCTCAGCTATCTTTTCAAAAAAAATTTCTTCCGAAGTTAATATAATGAATGTTCCCCCCTCCCTCCTTCCCGTTTGATAGAACTTTATTAAGCATCACATCTCTGACTGTCAGCCTTTATTAAGCATGCTACTTCTATGTTGTATGATAGTAATAGCTTCCAACTTCTTTGGCTTCACAGTATTCTTCTACACTTTTATTTAATACTTTGAACTGCATTACATTGATCAACAGCTGCAGCACCACTTCCAAATCCTCCATAAGCAAAATACAACTATTCTTAAACCCATCACTCACATACGGATTCTTTAGAAGACTCTAGAAAACTTTCCCATATAACCAAATTTGTCCCATATTATTTTGTGACTCTTAAAAAACTTAATCGCTTCTAGATTGTCTGCACCTCATTATCCTGAATTTAAGCATGAGTGTTTTAACTTCGTGATAACATCTTATGACCATGCTTCCTACAGGATCGTGATGAAAGTGCACAAAGTCTCGATAAAGGTTTACCGGTTGTCTCCTTTTCTATTGGAGATACTGCAGAATTCTTGTACGGCGATCAAAGGGACGTTGAGAGGGCAAATAAGGTTTTACTGGAATCTGGAGATGTTTTGATATTTGGTGGAAAATCAAGACATGTCTTTCATGGTGTAGCGTCTATACAGCCAAATACTGCTTCTAAGACCCTACTGGAAAAAACAAATATCCGGCCTGGCCGTCTGAATCTTACTTTTAGACAGTATTGAAAACCCTGTGTTTGTGTATATGTATATGTCGTTGCAATTCAGAACTTTCATTTTGGAACTAGTTCATTCAGTTTATTCAGACGGGGCGTAAGGGAAACTTTTTGGGAAACTGGGTGTTGGTGTGTAATCCTTCAGCCGAGTTTTTGGAGCTAAAGGAATTGTGTCTGCTCTGTTTTTATTTCTTTTAGTTGTTTATTTTTTCTTCAGCTTTATTGTGCACCCTTGGATCACAGTCCAAGTGTTTTAATCTCTAGCATAGGATTAAGTGACATGTGTAAGCATCTAATAGGATGCTAGAACTTGAGCTTATTGTAAATATGGTACAGGGAAGAATATCTCTTTTTTTCCTCTCTCTGCCTAACGATTATACCCAAAACAGTGGAACTGATATGAAATATACACAGAAGCATTTTTCATTCTCCAGAGCAACGCTCTCTCTCAATTTTTCTGTGTTTTTCTTCTTTGCTCCCAAAATATCCAAAATATGAAATGCTGAAACAAAGAATTCTAACATGGTATCGCGAGCCAGGTTCGATTGCATGAGCTGGGCGTGAATCTGTGATTGAATCGGAGAAATTGGGTTTTTGTTTGAGCTAAACTTGAGCTCATCTGAAGATCGCGATTTCTCAAATCCAATGTCTAATATGGCAGGATCGAGTATCTTGAGCTGCGAACTCCAATTTTCAATGGAGAAAATTATGAGTTCTGGAGTATCAGAATGAAAACTATTCTGAAATCTCATGGTTTATGGGATCTGGTCGAGAATGGGTTAAGTGACCTAGATCTGAAGAAGGAGAAAGAGGAGGCTGTAGACACTGAGAAGTCTATGGTGGTTCAGACTCTGATGAAGGATGCTCGTGCACTTGGATTGATCCAAAGTGCTGTTTCAGATCAGCTATTTCCAAGGATTGTGAATGAGGAAACTTCGAAGGGAGCTTGGGATATTCTGAAGCTGGAATTCAGAGGAGATAAACAGGTACGAAATGTCAAATTGCAAGGGCTGCGTAGGGAATTTGAATATACCCGCATGAAGGATAGTGAATCTTTATCTGTATATCTGGTTAGGTTGTTTGATATAGTAAATCATATGAAGAGTTATGGTGAGGAACTATCTAGAGAGAGAATTGTCCAGAAGCTATTGTTTAGTTTGCCTAAATCTTATGATTCTATCTGCTCTGTAATTGAACACTCTAAGGACCTTGAAACTCTTGAGGTTCAAGAGGTTGTTGCTTCACTGAAGAGCTTTGAGCTCATATTGGGATAGACACACTGAGAATTCTACAGAAAAAGCCTTCTCTAGTCTGAATGTTGGTAGGAAAAACCCTAAAAATGGAATTGCTTATGCAGATCAAATACCTCAAAAAAATTGGAAATCCAATGATGGAAACAAAATGGCCTGCAAACATTGTGACAGATTTCATTATGGCAAATGTTGGTATGAAGGGAAACCTAAATGCCATGGTTGTGGGAAGCCTGGACATATGATCAGAGATTGCTATAGACACAAGAATGTGCAGAGAGTGAATTATGCAAATCAGGAGGAAGATTGTGGCACTTTGTTTTATGGTGTAATGCTGCAACTGATGTGAAGGTAAATCACTCTTGGTATATTGACAGTGGTTGTAGTAACCACATGACAGGAGATGAGGGACTTTTGGTCAATATTCAAAGGAATTTGAGCTCTAAGGTGAAGATGGGAACTGGAGAAGTGGTCCCAGTTGCTGGAAAAGGGACTTTGGTGATAAAAACTAAGTTAGGCAAGAGGCACATTCATGAAGTAATGCTTGTACCTGGCCTTGAAGAAAATCTGCTTAGTGTTGGGCAAATGATGGAACATGGCTATCACCTTGTGTTTGGAGGAAATGTGGTGAGTGTTTATGACAATCAGTCACTAGAAAATCTGATTGTGAAGGTGCAGATGACAAATAACAGATGCTTTCCATTGACAATGATGCCTGCGAGTGAGTTGGTCCTAAAAGCAAGTGTCACACATTGCTTGCAGACATGGCATAAGAGGCTGGGGCATTTAAATGAAAGAAGTATAAAATTGCTTGAGAATCAAGGGATGGTTCATGGCTTACCTCACTTGGAGCAGAAGTCAGTTGTATGTAATGGTTGTATGCTTGGAAAACAACATAGGGATTCTTTCCCTTTGGAATCCACTTGGAGAGCTTCAAACCCTTTGGAATTGGTTCACACAGACATCTGTGGACCAATGAAAACAGAATCACTATCTGGAAACAGGTACTTTCTACTGTTTACAGATGATTTTACTAGAATGTCATGGGTGTACTTCATCAGAAATAAGTCAAGTGCATTGGAATGTTTTAGAAAATTCAAAGCTATGACTGAGCTGCAAAGTGGGTATAAGATAAAAGGCTTGAGAAGTGACAGGGGTGGAGAGTTTCTATCTGGAGAATTCAACAAGTTTTGTGAGGAATCTGGTATTCAAAGGCAGCTAACTATGGCATATTCTCCACAGCAAAATGGAGTGGCCGAGAGGAAGAACAGGACAGTAGTGGAAATGGCCAAGTCCATGTTGCATGAGAAAGGTGTTCCCTATGAGTTTTGGGCAGAAGCTGTAAATACAGCAGTCTATTTGCTGAATAGATGTCCTACCAAGGCTCTTAACAAGATAACACCATTTGAAGCTTATACTGGCAGAAAACCAGGAATTGCACATTTAAAAATATTTGGATCTCCTTGTCATGTGCTTATTCCTTCAGCATTGAGGCATAAGCTTGAAGAAAACAGTCACAAGTGTATTTTTGTAGGCTATGGTCTCTGTGAAAAGGGATATAGGCTGTTTGATCCAAGTACTAGGAAGATAATTCTATCCAGAGATGTGCAATTTGATGAAAATGGCTTATGGAAATGGGAAAATACAAATGAAGAAGAAATGGTAGTCCTTTTGCCTACTGAGAATCAAAGCTGTGAATCAAGTCAAAGCTTGGATACATCACTGCAAATGGATGAAGAAGTCACATTACAAGCTGAACCAAGTCAAAGCTTGGATACACAAACTCAAATAGTTGAAGATACCACTCTGCAAGATGAAGGCATAGGTGAAAGTTCTCATTTCTTTGATCACACACCAAAGAAATGGAGAAGTGTAAGTGAAATCATGGCTAAGTGTAATGTGTGTATTGTGGAACCTGAAAATTATGAAGATGCAGCTCAAGATGAGTCATGGAGAAAGGCAATGGAAGCTGAACTGGAAATGATAGAAAAAAATGACACTTGGAAACTTGTCGAGAGACCATTTGCTAAACCTGTGATTGGTGTTAAGTGGGTCTACAAGACTAAACTGAATCTAGATGGTACTGTGCAGAAAAACAAGGCTCGTTTAGTGGCTAAAGGCTACTCACAAAAGCCCGGTATTGATTACAATGAGACTTTTGCCCCTGTGGCAAGGCTAGACACCATTAGGACTTTGATTGCTCTTGCTGCACATAAGGAATGGAGCTTGTATCAACTAGATGTGAAATCTGCATTTCTTAATGGAGTTTTAAAGGAGGAAGTATATGTGGAGCAACCACAAGGATTTGTAAAGAAGGATGAGGAAACAAAGGTATACAAGTTACACAAAGCTTTGTATGGTTTGAAGCAAGCACCAAGAGCTTGGTATGACGAGATTGATGCCTATTTCAACAAGGCTGGTTTCAAGAAAAGTCCAAGTGAGGCAACTTTATATGTTAAGGCAGAAGGTTCAGATGTTCTTATTGTTTCTCTATATGTTGATGACATAGTGTACACGGGTAGCAGCTCTCAAATGATTGAAGAATTTAGGAGAGATATGATGGAACACTATGAGATGACAGATTTGGGAGTATTACACCATTTTCTTGGAATGGGGGTGATACAGTCTAAACAAAGCATTTTCTTGCATCAGAAGAAGTATGGACAGAAGCTGGTTGAAAAATTTGGTTTGAAAGATTGCAAATTAGTGGCTACACCACTTGCAATGAATGAGAAGTTAAGTAAGAATGATGGAAGTGAGGCTGCAGATGAAGGAGAATATAGACAGATTGTGGGCAGTTTGCTCTACTTGACTGCAACTAGGCCTGACATAATGTTTGCAGCTAGCCTCTTGGCAAGATTCATGCACAATCCCACCAAGAAACACATGGGAACTGCTAAAAGGGTATTGAGATACATTCAAGGAACAATAGACTTTGGAATTGTATTTGAGAAAGGAAAAGAAACTACTCTTATTGGCTATTGTGATAGTGACTGGGCAGGAAGTGAAGATGACATGAGGAGTACCTCAGGGTATGTTTTTACTATGGGATCGGGAGTGTTTTCGTGGGCTTCAATTAAGCAAAATACAGTTGCTTTGTCTACAGCAAAGACAGAATATATAAGTGCTGCAGAAGCTACTTCTCAAGCAAAGTGGCTGAGATTTGTACTTGAAGATTTTGGAGAAGAACAGATTGAAGGAACACAGATAATGTGTGATAACACATCAGCAATTGCTATGGCAAAGAACCCTGTTTTCCACCAGAAGTCAAGGCATATTAACAGAAAGTTTCATTTCATTCGAGAAGCAATTCAAGCCAAGGAGATAGAACTTGTCTACTGCAGAACTGAGGAGCAAATTGCAGATATTCTGACAAAAGCTTTGCCTAAGGACAGGTTTGCATACTTAAGGGAATTACTTGGTGTTAAGTCGGCTAAAGGATTAGAAGGGAATGTTGGTGTGTAATCCTTCAGCCGAGTTTTTGGAGCTAAAGGAATTGTGTCTGCTCTGTTTTTATTTCTTTTAGTTGTTTATTTTTTCTTCAGCTTTATTGTGCACCCTTGGATCACAGTCCAAGTGTTTTAATCTCTAGCATAGGATTAAGTGACATGTGTAAGCATCTAATAGGATGCTAGAACTTGAGCTTATTGTAAATATGGTACAGGGAAGAATATCTCTTTTTTTCCTCTCTCTGCCTAACGATTATACCCAAAACAGTGGAATTGATATGAAATATACACAGAAGCATTTTTCATTCTCCAAAGCAACGCTCTCTCTCAATTTTTCTGTGTTTTTCTTCTTTGCTCCCAAAATATCCAAAATATGAAATGCTGAAACAAAGAATTCTAACACTGGGTGTGATGAATTAAAAAAGGGTGTAAGAGTAATGCTACACTTACCATATTTTTATCTCACATTTCTATACCACATGATGTGATATGTACATATCATATGCCACATCAATTAAATCAATGAAGTGTATTTTAATGAAGAAAGTTCAATGAATGAAAGAAATATATATTTAAAAAAACTATTTTTTTCAGTCTTGGGGTTTTTCACTAGCCTTGTAAATATGAGCTTAGCCAAGTCGGCTAAAGCAGTGTGCTCTCTACTTTACACCTGAGTTCGAATTCCTCTCCTCGTAATTTAGATTATTTTAATGTAGATTATCATTTGTATAAGAATAAAAATAAAAATGAGGGTTTTTCACTAGCATTAATTATTGTCCATGGATTGTGCCTGGGCATGGTGGGTGGTCTGCCATAGCCAGGGGTCTACTTTAAGTTGGCACTTCGGTTGTACTAGATCCCATTTGTTTTTGGCAGCCAAACTTCACCGGTTACTCAAGCAAACTTGTGTTGGTCCAACTTCGGTTCAACATTCCTCTCTGGCTTCGCTTAAAGAACAATAAAATAAATGCTTATTTTAGAAGCAAAAGCCACAAGAGCAACAACCCTACCACCAACAAACTCTTTCTTACATATAAAAATCCTTTATAAATCACTCACATGTGTATCCCATTATCACCATGCATCTTATTCAGATTTTGTTAACCATGCTTTTATTCTTATAGCAATAAAAGTGCTCAACCAATGTTCTTCTTCATTCAGCCACCAGTATGCAGAGGTGGAGGATAGGGAGAATGAGCCATGCTGGAGAAGCAGGGCACATGCTAGATATATCAGCTTCAATGTTCTGAGAATTTTGCATGTGCTCTAGCTCTCCAGCTTGGACTCTTTCCCTTTCAGGCACAAGATTGAAGGCAATGATAAAGGTCAGTTTCTTTGTAGCTCATATTGTAACTCACTTAACCGACGGTAATGTCGATCGAGCTGATTCTACTTCTGCAATGCCGCTCCCCTAAGATCATCTAAGTGCTACACAGTCTTGCCACTTTTCATTGAACCAGATGATCATTCACAGATTGAGTACAAAATCTCATCAGTTTATTTTGATGCAGACCTTCAATTGCCTTATTATTTATACACAATCAACATCCATAAATAATTTCATCATCCACAAGTTAAATAACAATGCTTGGCTCAAATCACCTTAGTTGGAAATCAACACCACCTTAAATTAATGTAATAAGTTATTCATATATACCGAGGCCAATCAAAATTCTAAAATCACCCTTTTGACTGAATCAACCACGGTCAGATCTGTTTTCTAGAGCTGAAGCAGCAGACTCCACATGAACAAGTAAACAAGCATATACTTTTTGTTTTAACCTGTCAACATTCCCCACCAATCCAGTGTTGTCCGAGCTTATATTGTTCTTCAGTTTATCCAACCACTCATTTGCTTTCTTAAGCTGTGATAATGTCACAGCAATATGATTGTCTGGCTCATTGCGTCGCCCGGCACTGTCCTTACCTTTCTTCTCTTGGGGTTTCAGATGAAAGCCAGTATCCAATGCTTCCTCCAAGAATTTCAAAAACCAAGATCTTGTTTCATTTATGAGAATTTCTTTCAGCTCTGCTATCTCTTTTGCACTATCTCCTTTAGCCCATTCTAGTTTTTCTGCTCCACTTATCTCAGCAGGGGCCTTTGGAGACTTCGATGTACTTTTACCATGAATTAGACCTGTCCTTTTGCTTAACTTTCCAACATCTGGAGGTATTAATTGTTTTGTAGTTAAAGGAATTGAATTATCCTTCAATGGAGCTGCAATGTTTGGTTGGTCAATGAGCTGGTGGAGTATGAAAAACTTGTTGACAGGAAGGTGGGGATTGTCCGGTGAGGCAGATGAACATAGATCGGCAAACAAGCTGAAAGAAAAGATTTAAGAAATAAGTTTCACAGACAAACAATTTTAATGTGATTATAGATGTAAGATATTGACATGGATTCTTTCAATAGATATTATAGTTACCTGAGACATTTGACAAGAGTTGCAGCTGTAGATGCTTCTTTTTGAGCTTCTGCTGCTACCAAAGAAGCTAAATTTCTCCTCCTGAGCATTCCCTTGTAAATTTTAACGAAAGATAAGAAAGAAGTGTCACATTGCAACGGTATAATGGATGCGAGAATTAGTGAGATTTTTCTATTCAAGATATTGTTGCCTAGCTAACATCAATATAATTCAATGAAAAGGCCTTCTAGTTTTCATTGTTGCCTTCAATTGAATGCATGCTCAATTGGTCATGATCTGACTATAAACTCAACAAAGTACTGATATCTGTTCAGAATTTAGCATTATCAAAATAATACAGTTGTTCAACAAAAATGCCAAACCTTTTTCTATATTGGCTGTTTGGACTGATGGAACAGTAGCCATAACTTAAGTTTCGGACATGTTAAACTGAAAAGGAAAGAGATGCGAAGGAAACAAGGAAGGGTACCTTTCCAAGCCTCAAAAAGTTAGCCGGCAGAGAAGCCCACAAAACAGCCTCTGGTGACTGACTTTTATCTTTTCGGCTTGACAAACAATTAGAGTTCATGTTTTCCTGTTTGCTTGAAGTTCGTTTTGCAGAAGTGCTTCTATAAGGCACAGCAGTCTCCTTGGTGTTAGATACTACTGACTCCGGCTTTGATGAAAGTGCACCAGGTCGATTGTGGGAAGGAGTTATTGAGCGTGCCTGTAACACTAGAACAAATGATCATGTTACAAAACTGTTCTTTGATTACATAAAAGGGAACCATCTACTTAGTTGTTTGTTTCAAATAAAAGGATTATATTCTCAGTTGCATCATTTGGTGTAGGGATCCAGGAAAAGGTTCTAAAGATCCAAGAAAAATTTGTGTACTGCACAATAACTTTGTTCCAATTTATTGAATCATGTTCTTGTTGTATGTTATGTGTTGCCTAACACTCCTATATGTGTAACATTGCCTGAATGCTTTAGGACTTGAAACAGAGAAAAAGCACCAATCTCATTTGCTTTTATTCTGTCATCACTAGGGTTTAGGTTTCGCATCTAATTTAAACAGATAATCCTACCTGTCTTAAAAATGGAAATTATGTTTAGCGCGAATCGTACCTGACCATTATGCTCTTGCTGCTTGCCTTTTAACATGGAAACCTTCTTAGCACCACTCTCATTGTCATGGTTCTTCCCACCTCCATTAGAATCTGGTCCGCTAGCTTTTGAATTTGTTGTCAAAACACCTTGCATATACCTAGATGCAACAGCTGCCTTTTCCTCTTTAATAACAAACGTTTGTCTTGAGTTTTCATCTTTTGCGTCGAAGGACTCCCTCAATTTCAAACTATTGTTGCCTTCCTGATCAGCTTGAACTGGACTCTCTGATGGCTCTAACATTTGCATCAAATCCTTCGGGTTCCCCACGAAAGGGTGTCGTCCTGGAACTGGTCTGATCCCAATAAGTATAGGAACTGGTGTTCCTGCCTCCATTCTATCAACATAGAAAAACTGGCCAAGCTGCAACTTGTTATTCAATATAATCTCATTGTCCTCCTTGGACAGTGAGACATAAGTGGAATGAGAAGAATCCGACACTTTTATGAAGAAGCCTTGGTTAGGCCACAGCTCCAAGCCACTTAAGGCGGGCACAATGCTAATCACTTGAAGCAGGACCGATCGATATTCTCCACGAACCTTTACGTTGGAGTTAATGCTCTGAAGGAGCTTTAGTAGAACTCCTGGTGTAAGGGAGGCCATGGCTTTTTCTTCTTGTTCTGGTAAATCCAAATTTGAGAAAGTCTACCTGGCTGATGATGCACTGGAATTCATTTCATGGTACTATTCACTTCAGATACCATTTTGCTAAGCAAAAACCATATCCCATTTGCAACAAGAATCGAAGACAGGCAACCTATAATAAAGTCCTGCAATTCTTCTTTTTTATTGGTTTTTGGCAACACAATGTCGTAACAAGAAAAGGCATTGAAAAGACACAAACCAATGAACACTGCCCATTAAAACTCAAACAACAAGAATCAAGAAAACAAAATTTCTGAGGTAAATTTCATTGAAGAAAACTAAGCTAGCATCAGTCACAATATTATGAAATTCTTGCTTTTCTGAAGAAATTGTGTAAGCTGCATAAGCTGTATGCGTCAAAATGATTGAAATTATGCAATAACATGAATGACTAGACATGCTAAGAATTAGAGAGATGGTAAATACCTGGTGATATATGGAGCACAAAGATCGGAGAAGGTTGAACTAGAAAGATAGAACAAGGTGGGGAAGGAATCTTGCAGAGAGATGAAGCATAGAATACAACTTGAGAACCAAACAGTGTTTGATAAGTGGCGGCATTTGGCTTGACCAAAAGAACATCTTTAGGCTTTAGCTTTGCATGAAAGGCACGTAACCATCAGCTTCTCTTGGCTTCAAAGCCAAGTGACAATGCATACATGTGAGAATTTTATGGCCTTTTTATGTGATGTGGAATGATTATAAAAGGGGCTACCCACCATTTATTGAGATTATTGTGATTGATCAACCTTTTTTCTTATAATTTGCTTCTTCATTAGGTCGTGTGTCTCTTTGTGGATACTTAAGGAATTGTACTTCAATCGAGCAGCCTCTTAAAAGGAATTGACCAGAATTTGTAAATGTGAATCATATTAAACGCAATACTCATTAGGCATACCTACTTTGGGTAAACATAAGGCATCTCTTAATCAAGGACAATAACAAGTGGAATATCACATTCAACTTCTCAGTTGGTTCTACTTCGCTAGAATAGATTCTAGGAATAAATCCCATACCTGTGTATTTGTGAAAATCAAGGGTTCAAGGCTAAGAAAAGAGAGTTACCCTTATTGTGTAACTCAAAATACATCTCATTCGGCAAGAGACTTGTATCTCATTCGGCAAGAGACTTGTATCTCAAGTGATTAAGAGCATTCACTCTTGCACTCGAGGTAATGTGATTGATTCCCCCCTCTTGTATAAAAATAATAATTTTGGCCAAAAAAAAATATACCTTTGTCATTTGGTTTACCAACTAGCCCAAACAAGCAAAGAATAAATGCTTTGCAAAGTCAAAACTCAGCATTTCGATGTATGTTGGTACATCAATTCCAATCTCTAATATCACAAAATAATGGAAGGGGACCAAACGATATAAGATGGACTCTTCTCTATAACTACAAGCAACTGCTAATTGATTTCCCCCATCGGAAAATCAAAGGGCAAGCCAACAATTTTCTTTACATACAATTTGAATCTAATATCTAGCAACTTTACTAGGTACATATTTATATGATTAAAATGCATTGGCTTCAGTTTCTGCACGCACCAAGCTAGCATACACACCATTAAGATGAGAAGCCATAAGTGCATCATGGCTCCCATATTCTGTGATGGCACCATTGCTCATAACTGCTATCATATCAGCCTCTCTGATCGTCGAAAGCCGGTGAGCCACTATGATGGTTGTAGCCCTTTTGGAAATCTTCCTAAGTGCATCTTGTATGTGTCTCTCTGATTCCAAATCCAATGCACTACTTGCTTCATCTAGCAGCAATACCTTTGATCTCTTCAGTATAGCCCTTGCTATCGCAATCCTTTGTTTCTGGCCCCCTGATAGCTGGGCTCCACTCTCACCAACCTATATATGATAGGAAAAATATTAGAAAAAGAAACAACAACAAAAAATGGTCAAATGAAGATGAACAATTTGGGTGATACACATGCATCATAGAACAATACCTGAGTTTCATAGCCTTGAGGGAGGCTACTGATGAAATTGTGAATATAAGCTTCCCTTGCAGCATCTTCTATTTCAGCCCATGAAGCATTTGGGTTACCAAAAGCAATGTTCTCTCTTATAGTGCCGGAAAACAATGTAGGCTCTTGACCCACTAGAGCTATCTGCTTTCTCAACCACTTCACGTTAATATCTCTCAAATCCACTCCTCCCATCATCACCTTCCCTTGAATTGGATCATAAAACCTTTGTATTAACCATATAACTGTTGATTTTCCTGACCCACTTCCACCCGCCAATGCCACAGTGCTACCACCTTTGATCTTCAAGCAGAAGTCACTCAACACAGTCACATCTGGCCTAGATGGGTATGCAAATGTGACCATTTTGAACTGAATATCCAATGGTTTCGACCGGTCGAGTTTCTTATCTTTGTCTCTGTTGCTACTGCCAATTAATGGCCTACGTGAAATGATAGCAAAAACTGCTGGAATTGCTGTTGCAGCCATGGATGTGTCTGGTGCAAGACCGGCTAATTGTCCAACAGAAAATGAACTCAAAACAAGAATGAGAAAAATTTTGTATACCTCACCGAAGTTTGCTTTGCCTTCTTTGATAAGGTAAGCACCAAACAACAGAGTTACGGTGTATGCTCCATACATAACACCCTGAGAGAACCCCAGTGCTAGGCCCATGATTTGTGACCTTCTCACTGATTTGCTCTTTGGACCTGATAAAGCTTTTTCAAAGGACCCAACCAACTGCTCTTGAGCAGAAAATGTTGTGACTGTCCTTATGTTTGAAACTGCACCAGAGGCGATATTGCTAGCTTTGGCATAAGCTTCATTGTCAAGTTTTGGTCCTAAATTTATAATCAAGCTTAAGTAACTTGCACCAAGAGTCAAAGGAGTGAGAGCAGCAGCCAAAATAGCTAGCCTCCACTCAAGGTAAACACATAGACCAAGTCCCACCATACCTGAACTCAAACCCATTAACAAGACTGATAATCGATCAATGTGGACTGATCGAAAACTGACAGAATCAATTGAGAGCCGTGAGATCAGTACTGCTTTGGAGTTTTCTTCAGAATCAAACCAACCAGGTTCTTGTTTTAGTATGGAACGAAATAGGAGATTTCTCACTCTCATTGTGAGTTTTGTTCCAGCCCAGCCACACAAGCCTTGCTGTCCTGTCATAAAGACTATGTTCCCAAAGCCAAGTGCAACAAGTACTAAACAAAGGGGTTCAATGTTTCTTTTAATCTTGGATGGGTCTTTACCAAAATATATTTCAAGGGCTACGCCGAGAAGAAAAGGGAAAATAGACAAAATTGCACCTGCATGCATACCCAAGATTAATCCAAATAAAAGCATTGGAAGCTCTGGTCTCAGTAACAACCATATATCTGAAAGTCGAACTTTTCTTGGTTTTGGTTTTTGGACCTCTTTCTCCTCTGTTTGGGTTTTCCCTTGGGTACGGTTTGATCTTGACGCATCATGAATTGATTTATCAGGCACCAAAAGCTGAGTGCCTTTTTCAGTATCATTTTGCTTTGACAAAGGTTTTGTTACTCCATCAGCAGCAAGCTCAACAAGGCTATAGTAGGCCCCAGCTTTCTCCATGAGCTGGCGGTGATTGCCAATCTCAATGACAGAGCCAGAGTCAAGAACAACAATGGTATGAGAATTTCTTACTGTTGATAGCCTGTGAGCAATTACAATCGCCGTTCGGCCTGAGGAGATCTTGTCAATAGCCTGTTGGACTACAGACTCAGATTCAGGGTCTAAGGCACTGGTAGGTTCATCCAAGAGAAGGATTCTAGGGTCTTTGATCATAGCTCGAGCCAATGCGATTCTTTGTTTCTGACCTCCTGAAAGAAGTGCTCCTCTGTCTCCAACCTGCCAAATGACATTTGAAATGAATGAGCATTAGACCATGAGTACATAATCATTGATGTAAACATTTACATGTGTGTGTGCACATGTATAAACGTCCTCCTGCCAGACAAGCCGGTACATGTTTTTCCCTCTGTCAGTCTGGATCACTAATTAGGTGAATTCTTGTTTGAATGTATGGTCCAAATTCAGAGTTTGGAAACATAGCATGCTAGATATCTGGCAAAAGAACGTTGCCATGAATATTCTAAACACTACTCCCGTCAGTATACTAAGGATCTCCCATCAAGAGAACAGTAAGAATGCTTTTGTAACTGAACCTGAGTTTCGTAGCCTTGTGGAAGGCCAGAGATGAAGCTGTGAGCATTGGCAGCAATGCAGGCAGAAATTGCTTCCTTCTTGGTGGCATTCTCCTTTCCCATCAATACATTTTCTAATATGCTTGTGGCAAAGAGCACTGGCTCCTGGCCAACCATACCTATCTGATCTCTTAGCCACTTGACCTGCAGCGTCCTTAAATCATGACCATCTAATGTAACTATACCTGCAAAACAAACATTTGAAAATAAAATTAGAGCAGGAACTAAAGTTATTCCAACTTATCATAAATTGCCTTTTATATTGTTAAACCATAAGCTTATGATACCTTGGTTAGGGTCATAGAACCTCTCTATAAGAGCAAAAATGGTGGACTTTCCACCCCCGCTAGAACCAACAAGTGCTAGTGTCTTTGAAGATGGAATAACCAGATTAAGAGAATGAAGAATTGGAGCATTAAGACGAGACGGGTATGAGAAAGAAACGCCTTTAAATTCAATCCTTCCTCGAGCCTTTGGCAGGGTCCTGCCTACTGAGCTGTAGGGATCTATCTCAGGAACTCTATCTATAATTTCAAAAACCCGGCTTGCTGCTACCGTGCCTTGTGAAAACTGAGCAAAGTATGACAGTGACAATGCCAAGCCCCTATGAAAATTTAGTCACATGTAAAATGTGTCAAGAAGATAGAAAAGGTCATGTACAATTAGTTTTATGTATCTCTTTGCACAAAAATTTCTGAAATTTCTTAACCACCACAAAGACAAGCTTATTACCTTCCCCCAACATTGACACCAAAGAAACAAGCAATGGCATCGCCTCCAGCTATCTCTCCCCTTGCAACCAAAACACCACCATACCAGAAAGCCAATGCCCACGTTGAATAAGTAACCAGATAGATAACTCCCACTCCTGCACCCTTAGCAAAGCCAATCCTTGCTCCCAAAGGCACCAAATCGGCCAATAAATTAGCGTATCTTTCAGCCAAATTATCCTCCGCAACAAAGGAAAATACGGTTCTGATTGAACTGATAGCTTGCTCAGCTACACTACCGGCCTTCCTGTAAGAAACCTTTGAAAAATGCACCAGAAAAGAATAAAAAAGATGCTAATGTGTTGATAAAAATTAAGATCAAGTTTATAATATGCTTGGTTATGTCATTCTCTATTTGTTTTTACCTCTTCTTTTGCAGTTAGGCCAACATAAACAGCCTTGTATGCAATACCACAGAACATCATCAGTGGTATGACTGAGAAGACTACTAGAGATAATTTCCTTGACCTTATAAATCCAACTGCGTATCCACATATGAAAGTGCATATGTGGTGAATGAAATGTGCCATCTGCAGTTACATAGAAAGCTCAAAATGTATCAATGCTACCTGATTCTCAATATACAAGAACAGAACAATAATGACTATTTGTTACGTAATCGTAAAATTTTATTCAAGGCAAATTTATAAAAGAAAATAGTAGACCTTCTCTCCCATAACTTCTTGAATTTGAGCAACATCACTGGAAATTCCGTGCATAATATCACCGGCAGCGACTTCTGTATCGAAAAAGCTAATGTCTTGCCGTAGAACTGCTCTTAGATATTCTCTTCTCATTCTTTGAGCAGATCTCTCTCCCACCATTCTCCAGCAAGTGATCTCTGCAATTTAGTGATAAAAAAAAATACTGTTGGTATGTATTCATATGGGCTTTGACAAAATTCCATATGTTACAAACATCTAGACACAAAGGAAAAGCAAAAAAATTCAAAAGGAAATTTTCATCATGATGTATGCCCATCTTACCCATGTATGCTCCAACTACCACTATTGCAGATAGTCCAGCCATGTACAGGCATATCTGATATTAGATTCAAAAGAAAATTAGCTTCCATTATTAATCCAAACCAAATATAACCTAGAGTAAATATTCAAAAACCATGGTAAGAAAAAGTTTACCAACAGTGCAGAAAATGTCTTAATCTAAACATAGAAAATAAAACATATGAGCATGATCCATCTTTTCTTGTGTAAAAATATCTTTACATACATACCATCTCTACATCCTTCATCATCAGAGTCTTGTCAGCGTATGTTGATTCTTTAGCAATCTTGTTCACAAACTCTCCAAAAAGAAGAGAGTACCAAGGAAGAGACCCTCCATTGATGAGAGCACCCACACAACCCAAAAAAACAAGAACCAAATCCCATTTTGTTGAATACTTGAACAAGCTAAGCAACCCTACTTGCTTTGGCGGCACTGCTTCCTCCTCATCCTCACCATCCTCATCAATAACAGAACCTTGATCACTGTCACCGTACCGGTCATCCCCATCGTTACGACGATTAGTAACCGTTGATTGCCATGCATGATCATCATAATGCCCTGCATGTGACAACCTATGACCATAGCCACCATGTCCTATAATTTTTGATGTGCCATAAAAATGACCACCTGGGTCATGACCCAAATTATGTGACAACCCATGACCCAAAACTTCAGATTTATCATCATCATCATAATGACCAAGCACATCTCTTTTAGCCAAAGGACCACTATAATTCCCACTTCCCAGCTCCTTAATCTTCTCCAATTTTGGGGACTTTTTATAATTAGCATTGTAATTACTCTTCCCAAAAACCAAAGAACTCTCACTGTTATTATAGTTATTGCCATCTCTAGGAGGAGCAACATAGCTTCGAAGCTCAAGCCTGCCATCAGGGGTAGAATCGTAATTTGGGTTATGTTGGGCAGAGCTTCTAAACCCAGTAGTGGTTCTTGAGAGGTAGTAGTAATTGGCCGAGCGGCGAACTATTTGGGCCTCTGTGGTGGTGCTGGTGGCGGCCCATGGGCTCAGAGCTGAGCCCAAGTTTCGAGTGTCACTCCACCCAGTGGGCTCAAACTGCCACGAAATCTCGCTATGCCACGACACGTCGTTGTCCGCCGCAAACGGCGTCGTTGGGCGGGACCTCCGGCTGTTGGGTGTTCGGTTTTGGGTTGACCGGGAGTAGGAGCTGACGGGCGTGGGGTGACGTGGGTGGCGGTGGCTGGAGGAGGACTGTTCCAATTCAAAGGAGGAGTCTATGCCAGCCATGATTGTGGGAGTGTTTGGTTGGAGGGAAAATTATGCGGGAAAGTGTGGGAAAGTGAGGGGGAAAGGAAGGAAAATGAAAAGAAGAGTTTTCTCCCAACCTTGTGGGTATCGTTGCTTGCCAGTTGGAGGAATTTTGTAAATGGTGAGTAGGAGGGAGGCGTTAGCTATTTGTGCAAGGATGGTGGTGGTTGTCCAAATGTGTCTTGTTGGTTTTTATTAAGCAGTCAAAGACTTCGTTGAATCCGTCTGTTTTTCAGTGAAATCAATATGCTATTGTTCATCTTATATGGACCAATATTTAAATTCTTGTAAAGATGGATCAGTATTTTCCATTGTTTTCTATTTTAAAGTTTAAAAATTTAGAGCGCATGTTAATGGTTTATTTATTAAAAATTTACGGCGCATGTCAATGATTTATCTATAATTTAGTGACACACAGTTTTTACTTAATTGTTTTATTATAATTATGAGTTCAAATCTTATGAACGACGAAGTATTTCGATCAACTGTTAATTAACACATTGAACGACGAAGTATTTCGATCAACTGTTAATTAACACATTGGCATAAATGAAATGTCATGTAGGTATCCTGTAATCTGCTCTTCTTTTGTTGAGGAAGACATCATAGCATAGCTAGGTTGGAATGAACTACTCTCAATAACATGAAATCAAAGGGCAAAAATGCATGCATTAATGTGCTGCTTTATCAAAAAATATTCCCCAGTTGATTTTTTTTTCTTTATTTTAACCAAGCATTTTGGATTTTATATTTGTCCTTTACATATAAAACAACTTGTACGATTATAATAGGACAAGCACTTCGTTAGTATCTAGCTAAGAAAACACATCATCTATTATGTCATGGAGCCTCATTTCGTACTTGAAAACATCATGCAGGCCAAATCCAGGCCGGCTGATATATTAAGGAGGTTACTAAGTGACTAATATTTAGGGAGTTTCACTAAAACACCCAAAATGGAGGTTGAAATTATAAAAAAACCCAACACCCAAAACACTTTATAAACACACCCAAAACCCATCATTACACACACTCAAAACCCATTTATAAACACACCCAAAAAGTTGACTTGGGGGTTGATTTTGGGTGTGTTTCTATGTTTAAATAGTGCTTGGGTTTTTTTATAAATACATGTGTAGGATTGGGTTTATTTATAAATTTGTATAATATTTATTTATTGACTTTTAGGAAAACCCCAATGACATGCATTGTCTGTTGTAATCTGACTGACGTTCTTGGTCGGTTGCTTTGTTGATGTTTTCTCAACTGCAAACAAGGCTACAAACCGAACAGTCTTTCTTTGGTTCCCTCTTTCACATGTCATCAATCTCAACTTGTAACAAAGTTTCTCCTCCAACTGTCATTAGCTCATGATTTACAAATTGTTATTTCCATTGTTGGTCGGTTTTTGAATGAATCCCATCACTATCAGCCGAACTTCTGTTTTGATCGGCTAATTGGGTTTAACCCAATGAAAAAGAATATTGACTTGCAAACTAAAGATCTCAAATTCAATTCGAACCTTGGCACATTGACAGTGTGTGTAAGAAAATCTCTTTACATAATCATAAACACACAAAACTATTAAATAGAGAGGATTCGGACTTGGGGTCTCGGACTTAACAGCTAAAGCCACAATCTCCCACTAAATAATCTAAATCTTAGAACCTCAAAAATATTTATAAACATAACTTGAGCAGCAATATCATCCAATATTGGTTTCTTTTAGCAGATAATAATTGCATATAAGTTGCTAGCTTTCAAATCTGAGTTCATCCCATAATTAAAGTATAAAGTTTATTTCAAAATTTTGAAGTTTAACTAAGAGAAAACAGAAATGCCTTCGAAAAGGTAATTCAAATAACTATATAATAGACAGAATATGCTAGCTGGAGACAAGAAGAGTCGCCCTACAAAGGTAAAATGACAGTGGAGCAATAGGAAGACGGCAACAACACAAAAATGTCTTACAAGCTGTTATTCGGCATAATCACAACACTCTTCTTAAACTGTCAACAATGGTGATTGTAACAAAGTTGAGATATACGTCACCCAAAGGCCAACTACACGAACAAGAAAAAGAATGCCTCTGGAACTACCAAAATCACGATTACATTACCCCAATAGCTGATCTGACTCATTGTTCCATAGAATATACACCATATTTCAACACAACTACGTATATGGCTAACTAAATGACAAAACCTCATGAATCCGACAGATACATAATCCCATCGTAGATCTTATATAGATAAAGATAAGAGAGTTTTAGTTTTAAAACACAATATAGTTTACTAATTTGGAATATATGAATACAATTTCATCTAATTAGCATAAGGTCAAAGACCAAAATGTAATACCTAATTTTACAAAAATATCAAAATTACACACAATGCCGCTCTTTCTAAGGCAAGCATACTATGCCACATGTCCACATCTAGCCAATCGCCACCCTTCGCCGATGCCGGCCACCTGCCACCACCATCGCCAGCCACTCGTCGCCGGGCACCATCGCTCATCACCAGCCTGCCACCTTCTGCAAGGGACCAACTTTGTTGCCCTTTATTCACTTAAAAATATATATATATATATTTATGTCATTAAAGGGACTCGAACCTTGACCCTTATGCAATGCAGTTTCTGTTTTCTGCATTGCAGGTTCCGTTTTCTGCAATGCAATTTTTGTTTTCTGCAATGCAGTTTTCATTTTCTGCCTTGTAGTTTCTGTTTTCTACAAAGAGCAAAAAGAGATATATACAGACGAAACGCAAGAAACCTCCAGATAGCAAACAACTGCATAATCCAATTTCCACAAAATTAGCCAACATGGCAGTTAATACATAGCAATATATATCATCATATTGATGAAAATCATATGAATTCCACATTTATAATAGGTATTTAAATGAACTTAAATTAATACAAAATTTGACTCAACTAAGCCTTATACCAAATTATCCATCATTTCCTTCTCTACCAATTTCTCAGCAATCAATCTACAGAGAATGAATAGGAGAGATAGAGGAGCAAAAACTTACAAGGTGATCATCTCTTCTATTGCCCACCTAACTCCTCATCTGGGTAACCTCTTCAAATTGGTGAGGTTGAAGGCCAAGGAAAGAGCAAAAATCCAATTGTAATTAAATGGAAACTGCATTTGAAACTGCAATGTAGTTTGTGCAAAACTACAATGTAGTTGGTCATGTCAACTCAGTATATAAAGCTCAAATAGATCCCCCACCAGCACCAGGCATTAAAGTAACTGTAAAACTGGTTTTCAATTCCACAGTTAAGACAATCTCCTTCACGGTAGCAGTTTCCACCTACCAAGTGAACACCATATACTTTTTCGGAAGCCTGACTTGGAGTGACGAGATACATGTTGTGACAAGTCCCATATCAATGAGAACATAGATCATACGCTCATTTCTCCGGAGACAATGTCGGCCTCCTTCTCTTTTGTTAGCGTAATTTTGTTAGTCATATAATGCACAGTTGAAAAGAATATATAAGAGTCTGCTTGATGAACAAGGACAAGTAGACAAGGAATTTGATTCTCATTTGTGAGTGCACTGAAGAACAGAAAACCAGGTGCCTTGGTGGGAAAATTGATATGGCATCATTTTTTTTGCAGGTTAAAAAATATATTAAAAGGCACATCAAATGAATAAAAGATGAAAAATATTCATGCTTTTTTGCAGGCCCTAAAATATTATGCTTGGCCATGGCATGCAAATCACATCAAGCTTTTGTGCCCTACTTTTCAAGTTGACAATACAAAAGGCTGGGGAAGTAGATAAAGCAAAATATAATATTCAAAGTTTTAAGGAAAAAATTTCTACCCAAAATGATGTCCTCACATGAATTGAGAGAGAGAGATTTTCAACTTTTCACATGTCCATTAGGACCAAAAGATTATGATTTACAGAGGCTGGGATGGCTGGCTTTTTAAAGTTTACACAATACCTGTAGAAAATCTCCGAAGTTTTCTTCCAGTTTTTTGATGAATTCCAATACGAGAAGAAACTGGACATGTGCAAGAAAAAAAAACTCTCTTGAGCTAGAAGACCTTGGACTCGCCGGTGAATGCCGAAGGGATGAGCCGCGAGTCAAGCAGCTTGAGAATTCTGGATCAGGCTTTTAAACAAAAAAGATATAATTTTCTTTTTAGTGATTAATGTAAGGTGAGCTAACGAATCTGGACCTCCTCTTCAGCCAAATCCAAAACAAAATTCAATTTCTAGATATTAAAAACAAAACGAAAATATTGTTTGTCTCAAATATTAATTAGTAAGGATAATTATGTCTAATACCTTTTCTTATATATTATAGGATCGGATCGGATGACACACGTTAAAACACACTTAAAAAAAAAAAATGAAACATGTTACAAAACTAAGGGAATTGACTTGAGAGAAAATTTAGAGGAAGACAAATGCTCAAGAGCTCAACCATAGCTTCTTCTCTTCTCTTGTATATTTGTCATTCATCTTTGATGCCTATTTATAGGCATAGGAAGTACATAGTTTACTACCATAAGTGGTGGGTTCCATTCAATCACATTGGTAGGTTACAACAAAACACACTTTTTATTTATTTATTGACATACCAAAGCCCCAACGCCTTTTAATATTTTCATTGTATTATTTATATATAAAATTAAAAAAGAAAACATGTTTTGGGTAGAACATGTTTTAATTTTAATTTATATATATTTTTAAAAACAATTTATATATAATAATAATAATAAATATTGTTGGGCTGGAAACAAAGCCCAATGGGCGGATAGACGTAAATGGGTCCAATAAAATGTTGCCTCCCTTCTCTTAAAAAAAATAATAATAATTAGGGAATGGAGGCATCAGGTTTCGAAATCCTGATCTCATCCCTTAAAAGCCCACAACTTACCACTAGATCGCCAAGATTCATTGTGCTATGTTGAAATAATGATGCAATTTAATACTAGCCATTCCAGATATAAAAATATAAAACTAACCCTAAACATCTTTCGCGGTCTCCATCCTCTCTTATTTTCTTCTTTCCTTCTCTCGCTCTCCGTCTAGTATCTTGAGGGATTTCGCTCTCTACTTGTTTTCCATCTCCCATTTTCTCAATCACAGTCTTAGGGTTTCTGTTGGGATTTTGCCCTAGAATCAGTTATCTTCGTTCCAACTTCAATTCTATTGCTTTATCCTTCAATTCTCTGATTTTAGTGGCTGTGTTGGTGCTGAGTGAACTAATCACTTGTATAAAATAGCAGATTAGATAATATGGATGACAGTCTGTACGACGAGTTCGGGAACTATATAGGGCCTGAAATTGAGTCTGACCAAGAAAGTGATAGAGAGGAGGACGAAGATGGAGAGCTTCCAGATAGGCAAGACGATGGGGCTGCATCTGATGGTGATGATGCAGCAGCGGCTTCCAATGGGTGGCTAGCTGCTACCTCCAATGATGTTGATATGGATAATCAGGTTGTTCTTGCTGAGGACAAAAAGTATTATCCTACTGCGGAAGAGGTTTATGGGGAAGATGTTGAAACTTTGGTCATGGACGAAGATGCACAACCCCTAGAAAAGCCCATTATCAAGCCTGTTAGGAATGTCAAGTTTGAGGTTGGCGTCAAGGATTCTTCCACCTACGTGTCTAACCAATTCCTTTTGGGTCTCATGTCAAACCCTTCTCTTGTTCGGAATGTTGCTCTTGTGGGGCACTTGCAGCACGGAAAGACGATATTCATGGATATGTTGGTGGAGCAGACACACCATATGTCCACTTTCGATTCAAATAGTGATAAGCACATGAGGTACACGGATACAAGGATTGATGAGCAAGAGAGAAGGATATCTATTAAAGCAGTTCCTATGTCCCTTGTACTTGAGGATAGCAAGTCTAAATCGTACTTGTGCAACATCATGGATACACCTGGTCATGTCAATTTCTCTGATGAAATGACTGCTGCCCTCAGGCTTGCTGATGGTGCTGTCTTAATTGTGGATGCCGCTGAAGGAATGATGGTAAGCAACTCATCTGTAGTTTTCTATAGATTATGTGAACGAGAGTCCTTGATTATAGTTTTCTATTTTTCAATTTAAGTTCTGTGATGAACATGATATAGCCGTTGCATGTCACTGCCTCATCTGTGGAGGAACATCTGAACAGGTAGGATATACTGCTTACTTAAAAAAGTTTATGATTTTGATGAACAGGTAAATACCGAGAGGGCTATACGCCATGCAATCCAAGATCGCCTACCAATTGTGGTTGTAATCAACAAGGTATAATTTTTCCATATTCTAGAGCTGCTTTAGTTCTCAATTTTATTTCCATTTGGTCAGAATATGAAGTTGCGCACTTCCATTAACTGTACTGGTATTCTTACAAACATGAATTTTCATGTGAAAGGTTGACAGGTTGATAACAGAACTTAAATTGCCCCCAAGGGATGCTTACTTCAAGCTAAGGCATACTTTGGAAGTCATTAATAACCACATAACTGCTGCCTCTTCAACTGCTGGCAATGTGCAAATTATTGATCCTTTGGCAGGAAATGTTTGCTTTGCAAGTGCTACCGCAGGATGGTCATTCACATTGCAGTCATTTGCAAAGCTATATATTAAACTTCATGGTGTCGACCTTGATGCAGATAAGCTTGCTTCTCGTCTCTGGGGAGATATGTACTATCATAGGGGTGACAGGACTTTCAGGAGAAAACCCCCTGTTGATGGAGGAGAAAGATCATTTGTCGAGTTTGTGCTTGAACCCCTGTATAAAATTTATAGCCAGGTAATTGGAGAACATAAAAAGAGTGTGGAGGCAACTCTTGCAGAATTTGGTGTCACCCTTAGCAATGCAGCTTATAAATTGAATGTTAGACCTCTGCTGAGGTTGGCTTGTAGCTCAGTTTTCGGATCTGCCTCAGGCTTCACTGATATGCTGGTTCAACATATTCCTTCCCCTAAAGATGCTGCAACTAGGAAAGTTGACCACATATATACGGGACCAAAAGACTCTTTGATTTACAAGGCCATGAAAAATTGTGAACCTGATGGTCCTTTAATGGTCAATGTAACCAAATTGTATCCCAAGTCCGACTGTAGTGTGTTTGATGCATTTGGTAGAGTTTATAGTGGCAAGATTCAGACAGGGCAGACTGTACGCGTATTGGGAGAAGGCTATTCACCAGAGGATGAGGAAGACATGACAGTCAAAGAGGTGACAAAATTATGGCTTTATCAAGCTCGAGATAGGATACCCATAGCTGAGGCTCCTCCTGGTACTTGGGTTCTTATTGAAGGTGTAGATGCTTCTATTATGAAAACTGCCACCCTCTGTAATGAGTATTATGATGAGGATGCTTACATATTCCGTCCTCTTCAGTTCAATACGTTGCCAGTTGTGAAGACGGCAACTGAGCCTCTAAATCCAAGTGAGTTGCCAAAAATGGTGGAGGGTCTTAGAAAGATCAGCAAGAGTTATCCACTTGCAATCACTAAAGTTGAGGAGTCTGGGGAGCACACAATCTTAGGTACAGGAGAACTGTATTTGGATTCAATAATGAAGGACCTTAGAGAGCTCTATTCTGAAGTAGAAGTTAAGGTATTTGTTGCTCACACTTCTCATATTTTCTTCACTTTTATTATGTACCTTTTCCACCTCTTAAAGATGTCAAAATTTTATTTTCTTCTTTTGTTGATGGATGTTCTTTTGTTTTGTATGTTTCACTTACAACGTAGGTTGCGGATCCTGTTGTTTCGTTTTGTGAAACAGTGGTGGAGTCCTCATCAATGAAATGTTTTGCTGAAACACCCAACAAGAAGAATAAAATAACTATGGTAAGAAGCAACTTCATTTCCAGAACTTTTATGAGATACTTTTTCAAATTATGATCACCTAAAAGCCGTTATCCATATGTAGATTGCAGAGCCGTTGGAGAGAGGACTTGCGGAGGACATTGAGAATGGTGTTGTAAGCATTGATTGGTCTCGGAAGGATATAGGCAATTTCTTCCAGACTAGATATGAGTGGGATGTTCTCGCTGCACGGTCCATATGGGCATTTGGCCCTGATAAGCAGGTAATTCACCCGTTAAGCAGCATGTAGCATTATTATGTTTACAAAGTTTTTATGTCCTTTGTACCTTTTTAATCCTAACATAAACTTTATGCATCTTCTATACATACTTTCCTTTATTCATTACCCTTTCTCCTTCCTTTCCTTGAATTCTAGTTATACATTCCATGCCTTGCATGCTTTTGTTTGACACAAGGGTATATGTGCAGGGACCTAACATTCTATTAGACGATACACTTTCAACTGAAGTTGACAAAAGCTTGCTGAATGCTGTGAAGGATTCAATTGTTCAAGGGTATTTGAAATGAATTCTTGTTCTTTTGCGCTATATTGTTGTTTCAGTTTATTGCTTACCATAATGTTATGGGGGACAGGTTTCAGTGGGGCGCTCGAGAAGGACCCCTTTGTGATGAACCCATCAGAAATGTGAAGTTCAAAATAGTGGATGCAAGGATTGCACAAGAGCCATTGCATCGTGGATCTGGTCAGATCATTCCCACATCTCGTCGTGTGGCCTATTCATCATTCTTAATGGCAACCCCGCGGCTTATGGAGCCAGTATATTATGTGGAGGTAAATTCTTCCTTTTTGGTTTATATCACAATGAGATTTATTTTCAAGGAAGGTTATATTCAAGTACTTATTTCTTTTGATGTAAATGAGGACCAACATGGTGGTTAAGGTGACAAGTGTGGACATTAAAGCTGAACAAGCTGCTCACTTTTAGTTGCAATCTTTGTTGTTATGCTCTCTTATTTATTTATATTTTTGTGTTACCAAGCATAGGTGAAACGAAACAAATTATTTCTCAAAGCTACAAAAATGATCTATTTATTTGATTTTCCTTTTAAATAGAGATCCCGAGGAACTTAGATTGCTTAATATGAATATAATGTCACTTCAATGAGGGGAGCTTTACTTTGATTTTCTGATTGATTTTTTATGCTGTTGTTTCAGATACAAACACCAATCGACTGTATTTCTGCTATCTACACTGTTCTATCTCGCAGGCGTGGACATGTTACGGCTGATGTTCCTCAACCTGGGACCCCTGCTTATATTGTTAAGGTTTGTTGGCTCAGCTTTGTTTATGTAGAGTTCCAATTTCATTCTGTTGGTTCTTCATTTTATCATGAGGGAGGAGACTATTGCTGACAAGTGTTTCAATTGGATAAATTCAGGCATTTTTACCAGTTATTGAATCTTTCGGGTTTGAAACAGACTTGAGGTACCACACCCAAGGACAGGCGTTTTGCCTATCAGTCTTTGATCACTGGGCTATAGTTCCGGGGGATCCTCTTGACAAGAGTATCGTTCTGCGACCCCTGGAACCTGCCCCAATTCAACACCTAGCCCGCGAGTTCATGGTGAAAACCAGACGCAGGAAGGTAAAAGCATTCTGTCATCTCTCTCTCTCTCTCTCTCTCTCTCTCTCTCTCGGTATCTTTCTGGCAAAGTTTGAGGAATGCTAAAATTTCCCTTAGTTGTACTGTCGCTATTGGAAATTCACGAAATGCGGAAGAAAGCCATAACTAGGCATAAATTTGCTGATTTAAATTTTCTTTATTTTGTTGCCAATGGCAGGGAATGAGTGAGGATGTGAGCATCAACAAATTTTTCGATGAGGCCATGATGGTGGAACTGGCTCAGCAAGCAGCGGATCTTCATCAGCAAATGATATGATGGCGGCGGCTTCATAGTATCCAAACTTTAGGGAGGAGATTGTAGGCAAATTTAGTATGTGATGAAAACAAGTAGAAGTATTGTGATGTTGAGCTTAGAATTGGAATCCACGTGACAAAAACGAAATGGAAATGGGTGGATGCTAGAGTAATTTTTTTCTGTTGTAACTTTCGGGTGTCCTATAACTGTGACTGTTGTATCCAAATAATTTTTGGTATCCTTCTTATAATTCCATACAGAAACCAAAAAACCAGTAACATTACAGTAAGATTGTTCTTCTCTGTAATCCAAGAGGTTTTGATCATGCTGCTTGCTAATTATTTTTTTCACTTTAGAATTCAATTGAGAAATGTTTGGTTAATTTCAATGTGCCCTGTTGACATCACAGATGGATGCTCCTGCTTGATCTTGAATTTCTTTCTGCCTATTCGATTGGAATGTACTTTTCAGGGCATGCCAGTGATCGGATTGATTTGAGGTTGTTTCTTGTGTTTGGGATGATGTCTAGTGGCATATTAACTATATTCTTTGTTTGATGTTGGTTTGATGTTCATTTGTTGGGGTACTTAATGGCTGTTCTAGTTCTTTGTGGGTTGGTTAGTCAATTGGGTGGCCTTGTGTGGTGGGAAACTGGTTTGAGAAAGAAAAGAGGGGGTTGATCATGGGGATCTGGAGTTCACATACCTCAGTTGTAAAAGTAGATTTCATTCAGAGAGGGGGTATTGGTGGACTCATTTGTGCATGTTTGTATCTCATTCATTCAAGAAGCGAAATTAACTGTTCCAGCATGTGAAATTCAAGTTGCATGCTGCAGAGGTAGCCCATGAAGAAACAAATGTTTGATGCTTTTCAGCAGCCAAATAAAAAGCATTTTATGCGTCGCTATTTCAAAAACTAGTAGCAGAAAACTCCACAAAGGCCAACAATTCCGATCATCAAGGGCAAAGGAACGCACACTCAGTTTTAGAGCGAAGCGAAGCTTGAACCTTTGACTTTGGATAACAATTAAAGTATTACAAGGCATGGAAGTAGTTCTGACAAATAAATGCAAGTACACTACACATCTGCTTATACCTTGAAAAACAAAGGTACAATAACAGAACAGCCTCTTCACAAAATCAGACCTGCCTGGCTACCTCAGTTATACAACACATTCCTTTCCTCGAATAAGATTTTAACTCCATTGTCTGCCAATAGGGTAAAAGTAGTTATTCCAAAGTGTGATGATATGAATGTCTTCTTTATCGTTCCATCTTCTCTGGAACAGATTGGAGCACCAGATACAGAAGGAAGCAAAAGCAGCAGTCCCTTTCTGGATGAATATATATACACAAGCCGAACTCCCGTCCATTTTCTAAGTAGTATTGTTACCGGTTCAAACCTTTGCCCATCAAGGGATCATCAACTAATAAACAAGTAATTCTATCCTTCTAAGAAGAATTTGAGATTCTGAAGTCCCTCAGCAGAAATGCTTCGTCTGACTCTAGACCTCTCTACCACCACATGCGGAGGTGGCTCCAAGTGGAACCTCACGATAACTAGTGTCAAATTATCGCTTGCTCCACGCTTTATCGCCTCCTCTATTATTTCCTTGCAGCACAATTTCACATCATTGTGCTCTTGGAGTCTCCTTTGAGCAAAAGCAACAGCATTTTGGCTGGTGAACACATCCCACATTCCATCACTACCAATTATCAAAAACTCATCATCCTTGGTCAGTGTCATCAATTGAAGTTCTGGTTCAGAGCACTCAAGGGCCCTCTCCTTTCACCCACATCCTTCATTCCTTCAAGATGCCAATCACCTAATGCACGGGTGACACCTAACTGACCATTTAGATAACCATCATCAATATATCCACCCAAGGATTCAATCCGCATTCTTTCTTTTGTGCAGCAAGGCCTATGATCTTTTGACATTTCTACAGCCGCTCCACATCGTAACAATATAGCCCGGCAATCTCCGGCATTTGCCACAAGCAAAGACCTGTCCAACAGAATAATTATAAGCTGAACCAGACTAGTTGTCACAGAAAAGGTCTGACAAAAACAAACTAAGCAGTCTCAAGAATGGGGCATGAGAATAGCCAAAAGTGCATAGATGTAAGATAATTAAATCAAACGGGGAGATATAGGGTGTGGTTATTCTGAGCCATTATGATCAATTCAGTCTTCAATCTCACTAATCCTGAGTTGCGACCAAGATTTGGTCACACAACATCAGTTTACTTTACCATTTTTATTTCTTGTTTTGCTCATGCAACAGACAATTCATTCTTCAGCATGACACCCGCATGAATTGGCTGATCAGGTTTTCTTTTATTCTTTAATCTGATGGCCAAGACTTGCTGTAATGATTATTCAAGACCTTACTGTTCTAAGTCAACACCCTTATTACAGATAACAACGAACCTACACCCTTACCTCCCACATATCATTGCAGTGAGTGCAGTTGTTCCAGAAGCAAGGGAAGACTCAAGAGCACGTTTTTGCAAATGCAGCATCCGTCTCCATAAATGACCTTGTTATCACCTTTTCAAGTTCTAATGGAAAGTCAGCATCCTCAACAACTACTCTTGGCAAATTGTCACGAACAAATTGTGCTGTATCCTTTCCTCCGTGGCCATCAAACATCCGTTTTTTTTCTTCTTTTGAAATTGCCATTTACATCATCAAAATCTGGTAAAATAAAAAATGTCTGAATTGTTATGCATGAGATTTCATTAAACTGTTACAAGTACCCTTAAAGTTCCAAAAAATTTATTTTAGTATTTAGAAATTGTCCAAAAAACTTTTCTTAGTATTCTCGTTCTCATTGTAACCATGGTTTACAATGAAAACCTTGAGAAGTATTGGGATGGTTCTTGAATTGTTATACAGCGGAAGAAGGTGAAAAAAACTTACACCATAGAAGGAGATAGCTTCCTCACTGAGTTCATCATTATAAACAAACTTTTTAGCTAAGTCACCAACGCATATATGAGTATCCTCCATATGGGTTCGGCCCCCATATGAGACCACTCTCCTGACCGAAGGGAAGGGAAAAAGTTCAGCAGGCTCTGTTTTCTGTCTACAACCACTGTATCCTCTCACATAAGCTTTCGAGCTAAAAGACCAACAACATGATGGAACTTGAATCAGAATATGACGCATTTCAAGTGAACAGGTCAAGGACTCAAGCAAGTAAATTAAGCATTTTTTTTTCCAAGTATAATATCAACATTCAACACTCTCCTTGGAAAAAAAAGTTCTCCAGCCAGAAAATGAAACTCAAATCAATCACAAAAGTTACATTGCATCGAAACATCAGCATCATTGGCTTTCCCACAAAATTGTGAGATGTGAAAAACTGTATAATGTTTGTGAAATATCAAAATCAGTCAACACACATAAAGTGTTAACATAAAATGTAATTCAAGACAAAGAACTCAAGGAGCAGAAAATAAAAGATGAGATCCACTACAACACAATCCAATCAAAACAAACCCTTGAAAAACAAGAACGTTGGTCATCCACATCCGGCTGTACATAATTTTTGTAAATGAGAGTAAAACAAAGAATTGCAGCTTAGCTTACTAAATAGGAAAAACAATTTCCAAAACAACTGTGTCCCAAAATGGACTAAAAATTAGCAGAGCATTTGAACTAGTATAAGTAAAATTAATTGAACAGTGCAGAGATACAAAAATGAATTTGTATTCACGAGAGGCCAATGATTGAGAAAAACATAAAGAGCAAAAACTGGACCAAGACAACTACACACGTAAAAGCCAATTAAAGAACAATCATAAAAGAAAAACATATCACAAAGAAAGACCAGCAAAAGAAAGTTTCTGTCAATCATCAATCACAATAAGAAAACAAAGACCCAGAAGTCAATTTTAACCGAACGATCCTAAAAAACTACGAAATTGAGAGAACCCCAATAAAGCTAAGCAGTCAAAGAAGAAGAATTTTTACTTGAAATGAGTTTAACATGGTTTTCTGCAGACTGGAGCTCATCAAAAGGAGTTTCCTTGTCCAAATTCTCCGTCTGGTTGTGCAAGATTTCACATTGCAAAGGCCACTGCTTGTTATTGTTGTTGGTATTGATGTTATTATTCTCCATGTTCCCCATTTCTTGACCAAGCTGTTCTGCGTCTATCAAGCACATGCTTATGATGAAAATGATAATGGCGGTGCTATTTTTAGTTCTCAGTTTCTTAGCGAGTTGCTGAGGGAATCGGAAAGTAGTAGAAGAAGCAGAGAAAATGAAATATAAATTTGTGGTCAGAAGATTCTGAAAATATTTGAGAGGAAATGAGGGCCTCTATTTGTTGTAGTAGTATTCTGAGAGAGAGAGGGAGAGAGACAGCGAGAGAATGAGAATTCCAGATTTTTCTGTGAAAGCCACACCACACCACAATCTTCAAAACCATAATTTGTCTCAAGCCTAATTAATTAGCAAGTTTGTTTCGTTTCGTTTTGTTTTGTTTTGTTTAATGGGCAATAATTGCTCCAAAAAGTTTGAAAGTGAATTAAAAGGGCCAAAAACACATATGATCTCTTATGTCATGAAGCCTCATTTAGTACTTCAAAACATCATGCAGGCCATTTACCGCAAACAAAGCTACAAACCAAACAATCTTTCTTTGGTTCCCTCTTTCACATGTCATCAATCTCAACTTGTAACAAGGTTTCTCCTCCAACTGTCATTAGCTCATGATTTACACATTGTTATTTCCATAGTTGGTCAGTTTCTGATTGAAGCCCCTCACTGCTAATTGAACCTCTTTTTTGATCGGCTAACGTATAGCCCAGTAAAAAAGAACCTTGACTTGCAAACTAATGGTCTCAAATTCAATTTGAATCTTGGCACATTGACTGTGTGTGAGAAAATCTTTGTTTTGACTGAGCAAACAAATGGTAAGTCAAAAAAAAATATATTAAATGGAGAGGATTCAGACTTGGGGTCTCGGACTGAACAACTAGAGCCACAATCTCCCACCAAATAATCTAAATCTTAGAACCTCAGAAAAAAAATTATAAACATAACTTGAGCAGCAATATCATCCAATATTTGGTTTCTTTTAGCAGATAATAATTGCATATAAGTTGCCAGTCAAATGGGTCTAGCTTTCAAAACTGAGTTCATCCCATAATTAAAGTTTAAAGTTCATTTCAAAATTTTAAAGTCTAACTAAGAGAACAGAAATGCCTTCAAAAAGGTAATTCAAATAACTACAATAGGCAGAATATGCTAGCTGGAGACAAGTAGAGTCTCACTACAAAGGTAAAATGACAGTGGAGAAATGGGGAGACGGCAACACCACAAAAATGGTCGTGTCTTACAAGCTATTATTCCGCATAATCACAACACTCTCCTTAAACTGTCAACAATGGTGATCGTAACAAAGTTGAGATATACATCACCCAAAGGCCAACCACATGAACAAGAAAAAGAATGCCTCTGGAACTACCAAAATCACGATTACATTACGCCAATAACTGATCGACTCATTGTTCCATAGAATATACACCATATTTCAACACAACTACGTATATAGCTAACTAAATGACAAAGCCTCGTGAATCCGACATATACATAATCCCATCATAGATCTTATAAAGATGGCTGCGTCGTGCCTACTCAATTGTTCGTATCTTATAATATGATCATTCTTTAAACCTACCTTGAAGATGATCCAAGCACTTGCTATGTGGTATTCTCTAAGTGGTGATTATCTCAGCTTTGACTCACTCCCCTTGCTTCGGAATGATGAGAGTGAGAAGAATGACCGTGGAGCTGCAACACAGAACCATGAGCATATCACTGTCAGAAAGATTCTAAGCAAATTCCATAAACAGACATAAGCATTTCCTTCTTGCCATCGTAAAAGACTCTGGCACACGGCCAAAGAAAACTTGATAACCCATTCTGACTGGTGAACTGAAGCTGTCCAGGATAAAATGGAATGTTTTTTTAGCTCTTCACAGCTTCAAATTCATCAGCCAAAAAGTTGCTACTACCACTACACCAGAAATTTTGTTTCCTAGGTTGAAGCAACAAAGTACAGTGTACTATGGGGGTTATCCACGGATTTGCCTCCAATAGAGTAACTTCACCCTTGCATTTCAACCAAGAAAAGTAAAAGAAATTACAAAACAAGAAAACGTTAATAGAGAATCACCTTTCAATGAGCTTCCTGACAAATGATCCTCCCTCAGTTTAAAGTTCATTGGAGGTGCTGGGATGGAGCTTCGTAATGCTTCAACTGCATAGAGTAGTCAATTTGAAAATTTAGCTTTACATTTTTTTTCCCATGGGATAAATGCAAGAAAGAAATTTCTTTAAAAAGAAATCAATTCGCCAAGTTCATAGCATATATGCATAGGAAGTTCAAACATAAGTGAAAAATATATATCAAACAGGATAATTTGTTTTAAGTATTTGCAAACTACCTGCTGTTTCAACAAAAATGCATAGGGTCAACATTTTGATGAAGGTAACTATATGATTCTAAGGTAATTTAAATCACACATTTTTAAAACTGAAAGATAAATGATTATTGGAAAACTCAGTGGGCTTTCTGTTTCGCCACTACAATCCAAAGAAAGTGGTGCATGTGAAATGGATGCATTATAGGAAGTTATGAAATGGACGCATGGAAACTGTAGCTGCGAATGCAAAGAAGTGAGTTGGGTTTCTAGTCCCTAGAGCTCTTCAAGGTTCATTAGGAAACCTTGGCAGCATTCAGCCACTTCGATTTTTTCACTCTAAGAAAACGGTTGGGACAAAAATATTTCCCCACATACAACAAGCTCTAAGTCACAGGAGTTACACGAAGAAAACCTTCAATTGGCAATATACAGGTTATATAAGAGAATATAATTGGAAAATTAGGATATCTGTAAGTTACCCTGTTCATTGAACTCGCTTTCATTGAAGCTGTCATCAGTGCCCTGCATGAATCCCATTCTTGACTTCCTCAAATCTTCTGACAATCGGTTTGCAGGATCTCGCCCATCTTCTGTATCATCATCTCCTTCAGAAGTCGTAGCAGAGATCCAGTCACCCGTATTATCTATCCCACGACTTTTTCTTCCAAACTTTAACAACCGTTTAAATCCTTTTGTCATATCCTTGCGTGACTGATTTTGAGCAGAATTGGTAGCAAGAACAGGCTTCTGAGCACTTCCCCATTTCTTTCTCATTCGAGCAGCATCAACATCTATTTGGGTAAGACCATGAGAATTCCATGAAGCAGGGCTCCCAATTGGAGAGTCCACAGAGGCATCAACATCTGAGGTCTCGTGTGGGTAAGAAAAGGGATGATGCATGTGCAAGTTCCATGACATGGGGCTTTCCCCTGGTGAGTCTGGTAGAGACCCCAAAGCATGAAATGTTGAAGGCACAGCAGCCGGCAATTCAGCAACTGAAGCAGGGTCCACTTGAGAAAGAGATCTTACGGAATCGACATTATCAGACCCAGAGTTACCAGACTTTTCAGATTCCTGGCTCAGTCTTAGTTTCCCATTATCCATATCAACCTCATCTTCAACTGCCATATTCCCAAGCTCTTCCTCTTCTTCTTCTTCCTTCGCCATATCAACTGAATCTTCTACCTCAAAGGTCATCTCATCAAATTCTTCATTTGTTAAAGTCTCAGATGCCATGGACCCTTTCAACTTGGAAATACTAACTCCAGAACCAGTACCTATTCCATTACCTTTCCTAAGAAATGATTTTGACTCCACATATTTTGGAAATTTGTCACAATGCTCAGTTTGCTCTTTATCAAATGGCACCAAGACAACCCCATCCGAGTTCAGAGGAGACAAGTTGTTGAATTCTACACGATTAGCAGAACTTTTCTTCAAGGACTGAGAACGCCGTGGCTTCTCTTCCTTGGACATTATCTCTTCACTAATGCTCTTGCTGCGGGAATAGCTTTTGACCTGTGAACGAGCAGGTACTTTGCTAACAGCTGTTTTGCTAACTCCAGACGAGGGTTTTGTGTTTTCTTTCCTGAAATCAGAAAAGTTGGGAACTGACTGTGCAAGAGGATTTTCTAACTCTGGTCTTCGCCGCCCTGAACTAAGGTTGGAAAATTTGGACGATGACCGAGGTGCTGGTGCAGCTGGGGTCCAGGGGGTGGGCGAAGACAAATTTCTATTGGGAAAAAGCTTTTTATTTTGAATGCTTCTAGAAACACCATCTCCTAAAGCCTCGCTAGAAAATTTATCTTCTCCGTACAATTTCTGGCCTGGAAAATCAGAAAGGTCCTCATCCTTCTCCCAATCAACGGAATCTATTGGCTGTTGTCAAAACAGAAAATTATCATCCTAAGATACAAATATCAATCAGCAACAAAAATATCTTCAAAGATTTAGGCAGAAAAAAGAAATATCAAATCAAATTTTTCCAGTCATCAATTTTACTGCTAATATCATGATAATTTAAATAGAATCAATACCTGCTCCCTCTTCATACCAGATCTAAAATTAAAGGATCTCAGCTTGTCTTCACGTCGTTGAGCACTAGATACTGAATCCTGTCTGTCTGCTGACCCTGACAACTTGGCCTTTAACTCTGCCTTACTTTGCTCAAGGCTATCTTCCATGGCCTTCAACTTGGCTTCCTTTTCTTCTCTTTTAGAACCCCATTCTTCTCTCAGTTTAGCATCTCTTTTCTGCATGTACCTCTCATAGAACTTTCCTTTAGAATCAAGGGAGAAACCAGGCTCAGAGAAATTCTGCCTCAGAGTATCACCATAATCCTGGAGACCTACCATCTTCAATGGGGGAGTAGTGCTGAACTTGACCATATCACTAGAACTACCCATTGGTTCCATCACTGCGTTACTGCTACAAAATTGTGCAGGAGCAATCTCCTCTGCTGCAGGTTTTCTGTATTGAGAACTTACTGCCTGTTCCTTCTTCTTCACATCCACGGGCTTGCTTCTGCGAGCAGAACTAGACTGCTCCCCTGGAATCCGAAGCTTGTGTTCTGCAAAAAGCTTTTCAAGCTCATTCGCCTTAATTTTAAGCTCATCATTTAGCTCTTGATTTCCCTTGGTCTGTCTTACTCTCTGAACTTGCTCGACTGGTGTTGTTGGCATCGTAGGCAAGCTCTCT